TCAACGCTTATTGTTATTAGTAAATTGGCATCTAACTCTCAAAGTGGCTATCAGGACTCAGTGGCCGAGTGGACAACGCGATGGCGTTTGAAGCGAAAGGTACTGGGTTCGAGTCCCAAAGTGAACATCAACTCTGAGATGCAGGTACATCCAGCTGACGAGTCTCAAATAGGACGAAACCCGTGTCCTGGATTCCACTGCTAGTCACTATCCATCTTTGCTTACCATGCTTGTGAATTTAGGCTGCATCGAGACAATACGCACAGTATGCACATATGCCAATTATAGACTGACCAGTTACAATCCTAAAACATCAATGGGAAGATTCAAACATACAATACTACGTGAATTGAACTCTCAATTTGTTTAATACCAGAAATCGCAGATTGATAATCGTGTAGAGTTTCGGATTAGAATAGAATAGTCTCTATAAACGAATTACCTGAAGAAATGGTTTGATATAATTGGAGGAGGTTTTAGAAGATCAATTTAATTTGTAAGTTATGATTGTATCTAAGTTAGGGTGTTAGTAAAGATTGGATATGCGTTTTGCCTTATTATTGGACTATACAGTAGCTTTCACCAAAAACCTCACAACAGATAGAACTCAGAGCCCTCAAATCTAGAGGTGAAGATATAATCAATATAGAAATGGGTTGGGGACCAATGCTACAGTTTCGAATTCAGTTAGTTTGAGATGTACCGTAAATATTACCAAACACCAGTGATGACAGTTGTTTTACCAATAACATGTTTGAAATCCACTTCTAACAACCTTTCATTAAAGCTTCAGGAAAATCTTGTAATAAGTTACTAGTGAACTGACTACCATAGTTTAGATGAAGGGAAATCATGGCGACTGATTTCATATATAGGCTGTATTCACCACAGATTGATCTTACAATCAAATAGTTGAACAGTTCTCTCTAGTTTGCAATGTTATACCAAGTCAGACCAATCTGTAATAAATACAACCTACAATTAAAACTCTATATAGTCTGATTATTGATTGATAATTCATTGAATTTCTTCCTTCTATTATAGACTATATTCTAATCGTAAATCACCTTTCCTTTAGCATCATTGATAAACAAGGAGGATCGGATGCAGATTTAAAGGCGAGGACTGACAAAGAAAGGACAGCATTTCTACAATTGAAGAACATATGGTACTCAAAACAACTTTCAACTAATTTCAAAGTGAGAATCTTCAATACAAACATCAAGACTGTCCTACTGTATGGAGCTGAAACTTGGAGAACTACTACGACCATCATCAGGAAGGTACAAGTATTCATAAACAATTGTCTACGCAAAATATTCAACATTCACTGGTCGGATACTATCAGCAACAGCGTTTTATGGGAGAGTACAAACCAGCCTCCAGCTGAAGAGGAAATTAGGAAAAGACGTTGGAAGTGGATAGGACATACACTACGGAAATCACCAATGTGCATCATGAGGCAAGTCCTAACTTGGAATCCTGGAAGGAAACGGAAAAGAGGTAGGCCAAAGAACACAGTACGCCTCCAAATAGAAGCAGATAAGAAAAGGATGAATGTTAACTGGAAAGGATTGCCCAGGACAGGGTTGGATGGAGAGTGCTGGTGTGCGGCCTATGCTCCTCGACGAGGGGTAACATGCGTAAGTAAGTAAACTTCATGGTAACATCACAATTTCATTGGTTAGTGGATAACTTACAAAGCTTGAAATCTCATGACCATTTAAGCTTTAAATGTTACTTAAACATATTTACTTTGAGTTGAATCATTTATACATATGTATATCATAGTTTTGTTAGAAATAAATGACTCTTTGATGACTAGTCATTCATTCTCTTACATATCCGTTAATTGAGGTCTTTGGTTCGCTAATTCGGATTGTGTGATTAACCGACACCCAACTAAACAATTCATATCGACTCAAGAGATACATTTCATATTCACAGCCAACATGTAACTAATGCTTTAGGAATGTTTACATTATCGATTGATTTCAAGCAGACAATCATTAAACAAAATAAGCATAGTAACCACAATTATAAGGTGATCCAATACTACTACTCAGACTTTTCCATTTATATTGCGGTGTCTAGTATTATGTTAAGTCCATACGGGTTATTGGTAGCTTCCGGAAAAATTGATTCATTTATTCATCTTGACTCATATTTTGGTCTTGTAAATTATCCACCTATAACCTTGACCGTTATTATTTGAGCGTATGTGTATCCATCACTTGTCTTTAGACTATTTTCATCTGAATATAAATATTGAGTCACGCTCGACCAAATGAAGTTGGCACACTTGCCTACTCCTCTCTGCTTTTCCACTTTGTGTCGCTGATTGTGATATAGGCGAGAATGATAATGATTAGTTGTTTGGTTAGTCAGAATTGTAGACAGTCTGACAGGCGTTAGATGAGTTATATATTCTCTTATTTTTTGTTATCATTATTGATTGTTATTGGATTGTGTCGGCTCGTTGTCGGATTTTGATGTGAAATATATTTACGTTCTAGTCAGGCTAATCACGTGTTCTTGATCTGAGTTGTGTTGAAGTCCTGTAGAACAGACACTGGGAAGGAATCTCGTGTAGATATTCATCCAAGGTAAATTAACGTCCCATTCGTAAAGAGGAAAAAAACTGAGCGTTTTAACAGGTTTTCAACCTGGATCAACGAGTGCATGAAATATACGTATCCGAAATTCGTCCTCGTATTTGACTTATTCCGTTATTTTCTAACGCGAATTAAATCGACAATTATATGCGATTGGCAGCATGTATATTGTGTTAACACTACTCGATCTAATTGGAGTCAGATAAACAAGCCACAAAAATATTCCATTAGCCTAAGTTTGTCTGGTTTAATTATTTTTGTTCTTATGCGTTGAAACATGTATTGTCATGTATACCACTTATGTCGACACATATGAGTAGTATGTAACACTAATCGGAAATGGAAAATCGGGCAACAGAAGACCAAGTTAAAGAGAAAACAGGAACGGAAGTAGAAAGGAATTGCGACGTGGAAGAATTATACTGAATGTCAAGGACAAACGATGGAATTCGCAAATGAAGTATTCAATGTATGGTTCTCCTATTTTATAAAGAGATTCTGTTTGTATTAAAATGCGTTGACTATCTCTGTGTTCTCATTCATTTCAGCAAGATTTAGCATAGTATTTATTGTTTGTTTTAATTGAGATCATGAATCGATTAATGTTAGAACATTGAAAACTTGAAAGTACAGGACGGCCATTCTGTCTTATTATGGAAGCACTCAGCAGTGCGCGTCCACGACCTCGCACGCTGGAATCGAACCAAGGTTTTATGTGTGCACTCAACCACTAGACTACTAAACCGCCATTCAACGGAATTAACGTCTATTTTATTAATTATCCTTTCATCATGTACTAATACGTAATGTTCTGACTGAACAATATAATTATTGTTTCCTTCACACACCTTAAGTTCACAACATGTATTTTGCGTTTTAGTCTCGTAATTTTGCGTAGTTTTCAACTTGATTGAGGTGTAAATTGCAAAACAAGTTACTTCAAGATCTATGAATGATAGGTAACATTCGATTAGTTACCGATAACGTAAATTTGGTACGAATATATATATCGATACAAGTCGTTACAATTTCAATCAGTACAATTTAATGAAGAATTAACAAGAAACACAAAATAGGTAGTAATAATAATAATGTCAGTTATGGTGGAAAACTGAATAAACTAAATTAATTTCAAAAGGAACAAATCGGATCACAGTAGTGCGCATTCAAGATCTCGACTCGCGAAATTCCAACCCACGACCTATCAGTTGCGCGCGAGCGCTTAACATCTAGAACACTGAGCCCGTCGGCATTCAACGGTGTTAATGTCTAACTTCAACCAATCCACGAAATTGAGCGACACATCCATCATTGTTTTCAGTAAATTACTATCTCACAACAGACCGAGTTGAACTCCACTGGTCACTGAATTTCATTATAAGTCCAGGAAATATCTCTTGAAACCGGTCACTAGTAAGCATATGTTACGTGGGTGCGCAGTGTTGAAGAGACCCACAATAAGATGAAACGGCCGTCCAATGCTTTCAGGTATTCTATGGTGATCTAGCTTCAATTAACTTATGATCTCAACTATTAAAATTACTTAAATATCCACAAAAACCCCTTCTGAAAATGAAAGCAGTTAAGAAATCACAGTTGATTTTGTGCTGTGTCACCCAACTTCACCAAAACATTCCACTTAAAACGTTCAAAGGTCTTGATACGATCTATATTCCAATACTCGATAATCCCATGTATTAACATTATATCTTCATTTGATCATTCCTAATCTCTTTCCAACTTATCATAACTTGGAGTAGGTAATGATCAAGGTATACTATATCTTCTTCATTTTGTATTTTACATCTTATTGATTCTGAAGAATATCAAAATCGAACGCAACCTGAAATTGTGAAGAATTATGATTTATTGAAAACCAAACTCCATAGATGAAATCATTTTTTTCAGCCATCTTACAAAGAGATAATTATTGAATGGTTTATGCTGACTGATTTAAACAATCGAAATAAATTTGGATCTTCCCAATGATGTTTAGGACTGCAACTGATTAGACTTTAATCGGCATATGTGCATATTATGCGTATTACCTCGATATAGCCTTAATTCACAAGTAATGTAAGAAATCAGTAGCTAATTGGATAACGCGATGACGTTTGAAGCGAACGAAACTGACTTCGAGTCCCAGAGTGTACATCAACTTTGAGATGCAGGTATATCCAGCTGACAAGTCCCAAATAGGACGAAGTGTCATGCATCAAACTGGATTCCACTACTAGCCACTATCCATCTTTGCTTACCATTGAAATAATTATTCAAGTAAGATTATTCATACCATGTCGCAATACGAAAAGAAATCTGAAATTGGAACATTCACACCATACTGACTAATAGTTTAAACTGTCAATAAGAAAGTAAGACAAGACATTTATATGAAATATTCTTTATTTGTAAAATATAATATAAAAAACGTATCGAAATCTAATCAGTATTATTTCATGTTGACTAAATTTAAAACAAACATAATCTACTTATCAATCTTGATTAGTAGATTTAATGATCTGTATACATATTGCATTGATTTCATTATATATATCAACTAGTTGTAGATAAAGTTTTCATAAAACGATTGAATAATTCAAATAAACGATCATCTTCACCATTAAGAAATGCTCTAAAATCAGTTAACATACCATCTTGAAATAATTCATCACCTGTAAGATGACCACGCCAACGTTTTGGTAACATATGATTCCATGACCAAAAATAACCTATAGATTTTTGTATAGCAAAACAATTAGCAGTACAATCGGATGATATCCATAATGTATCCATATTTATTGTTCGTCTATAATCATCTTTTAAATGATCAATATTATGATCAAATTCCTGTGAAATTGAAACATACACATACAAATACAACAATTTTCAATTATAAATCAAAGTAATTATTGTTTTTCATAGTTGAAATCATGAGTCAATTGAAGCTAGACCACCATGAAAAACCTGGAGGCAATGGACGGTCGTTTCATCCTATTATGGGACTCCTCAGTAGTGCGCATCCACGATCCCGCCTCGCGTGATTCGAATCCAAGACCTATCAGTCTCGCGCCAGGACGCTTAACTACTCGACCACTGAGCCGATGGCCTAGCTTCAATTGACTCATGATTTCAACTATGAAAAATACTGAAATCTCCACAAAACCCCTTCTGATTATTATTATATTATATATCATTATTTTTTGAGCATCGTTTTCTTCTTTACACTTAGTGTGTCAATGTTGTATATAAAGAGGTAATTTTCACTGAAGATTACATTTTGGTAATCTAAAGCTAACTACAAATGCCTTCTGTGAATAAATCACTGTAGTGTGTAGTGTTTCGCGCGCGAGACCAAAGGTACTGGGTTCAAGTCCCGCGAGCGGGGTCGTGGATGTACACTGCTGAGAAGTCCCATACTAGAACGAGACGGACCTTACAGTGCTTCCAGATTTTCAATGGTGGTCTAACATTAATCGATTCATGATCTCAATCAAAAACTTAACAATCTCCCCAATCCCATACATTATCTTAATCTTGAGAATAATTAACTGTTCAATTCAAAACAGCCAGAACAAAAATGTTTTCCAATGAATAGTTGATAGATACATACTACTAAACTTGAACAAATCTGATTCACTATAAACGAATACTCTTTATTACAATACTGTTTTATTTTACTGTTCACTATCCACTGAATTTCATGAAAAGAAGTATTCAGTGATTAACAAGATAGGTATCCAAAGAAAAAGATATAGAAGGAACATTTAAGATAGAACAACAAAATGCCATGCTTAATCTCCATTAAGAACTCTAGGTCTAATCTTAAAGTCTTTGATTTACCAGTACTCAATACAAACTGGTAATATTACATAGGTTCCAGGAAAAGTTTTCAACAGAGTGCTGCTGAATCGGATGAAAGACGCAGTAGACGCCCAACTTCGATATCAACAGGCTGGATTCTGTAAGGATAGGTCGTGCACAGACCAGATTGCGACACTACGGATCATCGTTGAACAATCAGTTGAGTGGAACTCATCAATATACGTCAACTTCATTGACTATGAGAAGGCGTTTGACAGCGTGGACAGGAGAACATTATGGAAACTTCCTCGACACTATGGAGTTCCTGAAAAGATTGTCAACATTATCCAAAACTCATACGATGGACTACAGTGCAAAGTGGTGCATGGAGGACAGCTGACAGATGCATTTCCAGTAAGGACCGGAGTCAGACAAGGCTGTCTACTCTCCCCATTCCTCTTCCTTCTAGTGATTGACTGGATTATGAAGAATTCGACATCTGACGGGAAATACGGAATACAATGGACTTCTCAGAATCAATTAGATGATTTCGACTTCACAGATGACCTAGACCTCCTCTCTCATACACACTATCAAATGCAGATGAAGACAGCAAATGTAGCAGCAGCCTCCGCATCGATAGGTCTCCACATTCACAAAGGAAAAAGCAAGATTCTCAAATGCAACACGGAGAACACCAACCCAATCACACTTGATGGCGAAACTGTGGAAGAGGTGGAAACATTCACATACCTGGGGAGCATCGTTGATAAACAAGGAGGATCGGATGCAGATGTGAAGGCGAGGATTGGCAAAGCAGGGATCACATTTCTACATTTGAAGAACATATGAAACTCGAAACAACTCTCAACCAATTTCAAGGTCAGAATCTTTAATACGAACGTCAAAACAGTCCTACTGTATGGAGCTGAAACTTGGAGAACTACTACGACCATCATCAGGAAGGTACAAGTATTCATAAATAGTTGTCTACGCAAAATACTCAACATCCACTGGCCGGATACTATCAGCAACAGCCTTCTGCCAGAGAGGACGAACCAGCTTCCAGCTGAAGAGGAAATTAGGAAAAGACGTTGGAAGTGGATAGGACATACACTACGGAAATCACCAATGTGCATTACAAGGCGATCCCTAACTTGGAATCCGGAAGGGAAGCGGAAAAGAGGAAGGTCAAAGAACACACTACGCCGGGAAATAGAAGCAGATATGAAAAGGATGAATAGCAATTGGAAAGAACTGGAAAGGAAGGCTCAGGACAGAGTTGGATGGAGAATGCTGGTGAGCGGCCTATGCTCCTCGACGAGAGGTAACAGGCGTAAGTAAGTAAGTAAGTCCGATGGTTGATTAATATTAGGTGCTTTTTACATTATTCAAATTTACTTTCACATTCTGTACAGTACTATAGTCGAAATTTTTTTGTTAGTCAGTCAGTCAGCTACAACGTAGGACCAGGCACATATATGCAACGGTCCAAGTTGTCATACCTCGTTAGCACAACAAGATGAACAGCAAACTCATAGAAGTAGTTGATTTAGTGGTGGTATTGTATAAAAGAAAGGTTGTTTATAAGGATATAGTACAGGAAGGAAAACAGTTATGAAGCAGTTTTAATCTCAAGGTTTAAGGGAAGATAAAGACTGCATACATCTGCGCCATTGTGATCGATTCTGAGTCATGTCACCCACAGTCTCCAACCACTGGTTACGATAGTTGCGCGGACACCAACCAAGTAGCCTGTATCTACCAACATGGCTCAGACTAGAAGTTAGTGACTTCAAGCTCTGATGCCACGTTTTGGTTTGGTCGCCAAATGACTTTCTTCCAACCATCCCCAACACTAGTCAGCATAGCACGTCATGGTAATCGGTGTTCAGCTATAGGTACATTGTATGATTGATTTGCAAGCAGACATCTTACAGATGGTATTGTCGATGTCAATTAATAAATTCCGGCTTACATTTCTATTCAATTGTTAAAACAATGTCGATAGTATTTCCATTAGTTCGAAGTACATTAAGGGTCTGAACACACAACACGTATTTCAAGGATTACACCCAAACTCGTATATTAAATGAGTATTTGATGAAGTGTGATGCAACAGATTAAAATAACACTAAATAAATTAAAAAGTAGCTATTATGAACTCATAGCATTTTTTTACTTCAGATTTTCGACTGCCTGAAGAGTCAGTATTGATAGAGCAGTTTCTTGTTGTTTCTTCGCCTTGAACTTCTGCGCTTTCATATGAAGGTATCATGGTAAATATACCTCCACTGCAATGTACATAAATCCATTGTTTTTGTGAAAAACACGAAGAACTGAAAGTCAATCGACCATGTAATTCATAGTCTAAACGATCTTTAACACAACTGTCGTTAATAAAGCCAAATCTATGAATATAAAGATGGAAACACAACAAAACAGTGGATATGTTTTGATAATAAAGCAAACTAAATAATATGACAAACAAGCTAGACTGTCACTAATTTTCAGTAGTTGGAAGCAATCAGTAAGGACGTCCTGAATTTGGGTTTCGTAATTTTTAACACTCGTCATAAAAACGTCAATCTTAGGGAAACTTATGTCTCAAATGAGACTTGTACTAAAGTCAGTTTTAAGGATCATAGTTAGAATTCATATTCAAGATTTTCTGTTGTTTCTTTTCAGCACTAATTACTATATTTACTAATGTAATAAATTCAAAATGAATTGACAATTATCTGAAGTATGATACATGTTAATTTTAAGTATCCTGCACCTGTCACATTTTATGGATTTCAGATGAGTGGTAAATGTACTTAGTCAGTATGTGCATATTACTGTCGTTGTCATTCAGTCATAATGAATGTAGATCATGGAGCAAGTGTATGTTATCCGAAGTTTCTATTATGAGATCAATACGGCGAGATAATTTATTAGTGATGAGGTCATCTGCGAATGTTTATTAATCTAACTGCTCCTATGGAGTTAGTACTTAAAGAACTTTATTCTTGCGCGTTTGAGAACACATATCGGGATGGTTAGGAAAAGACATTGTATTTTTGTCATAGCTTCAATAAGGAGGAATCCTGAAAGATCCATTTTTCAAGTCACTGACTATTCTGCTAAAGCGTAAGATAAATCCATCTATCTAACCAATTAACTATAAATGTATGTACTCATCTTTGAGCCATATTATGTGACGGACAGTTATTTTATTTATTTAAATTTATTTAAACACATAAATATTGGTACAAAGGGGCATCACAAAAATATGCGCCACACAAATCTCATTCGATTTGTGTGAGCGCTGTGATACTGCCCGGGTGCCCCAACTGAAGCAAGTGGTTTTCTTAGGAAGCCACACCCTGAGCGTGGCCGTGTGAGAGCATTTGGAGAGGGTGAGCGTACTCTCCCCACTCTCGGCCGTACCAGGGCATTTGGGGGCCGACGGACAGTAATACTACCTAGCTGTTCAAACTGAATTCTGTTGAACAAGATTCGAACATTCGACCTACTTATCTAATGTCGTGTACTTTAAACAGCTTAATATATCAATATATGAATAATTTCTCAGTTTAAGTGTAACCAAAAAACTTATGAAGAAAACAAACAAATTCAAAAGATTAATGTATACTACTAACCTTCTAAGTATGGAATCTTGAAAGAATCGAATACAGGTTAAGCGTTCTAAAGGTGGAATATCTGTAATGCATTTTGAAAGGACAAGAAGAAATATAAATTCATTGTTTGTGATGATATTATTGATTATTAGTATCTTCAGGTAATAATTAGGTGTTATTTCGAGTTTAATGTAGTTTACATGAACTACTCCGATAACATACTAAGGTAAATACATAGTCATTAGAATTGTAATCTACTATTCACTTAGTATTGTTTGTTTGAAGGACTCAGTGGCCGAGTATCTAACGCGATGGCGTTTGAAGTGAACAAAACTGGGTTCGAGTCTGAGATGCAGGTACATTCAGCTGACGAGTCCCATATAGGACGAAACGTGTGTCAAACTGGATTCCACTGCTAGCCACTATCCAACTTTGCTTGTAATCTACTATGTTTAAATGGTTTAACTGAACTTTTTTCCCATTACTATAATTGTTAAAAATGTTACCTTGTTTACATAGTTCTAAGATTACTTTCGAGACCGAGTGACTTTAGTCGATGAACTGATAAAATCATGTGCTCATATACTATAGACTAACTTCAAGATTAATATCCAGTGCTCTAGTTAGACGTACAAATGATGGAGTTCAATCGCATCTGGAATGAGACAGATATCACCGATGATACTCACTAACTGTCGTAGTACTTTACAAATGAAATGGGTTTACAGAATTATTTTATTTATTTGAACACATAAATATTGCTACCAAGGGGCACCGAATACATATACACTTGACAAGTCACTTGATTTGTATGTTTACAGAATTATAACTCATTGGTTTAAAAGTCTTGGCAGTTTGGTCACTGGTAGGGTTGCAGGTGCACAGAAGTCTCAAATTAGGCGAATATAAAATGGTTATCAAGTTGAAGGGAGTCTATGCTAACAACTTAAGTAATTTTAATAGTTAATCACTCATGAGAGTTAAAGAAACAAACACTTAAAAGCAAGAAGGAAACATCAGAAACAATATTAAGAAGTTTGAAAAAGAAACCTGAATTCCATAATCCAATTATCAGATTGGTCAGTCAAAATATGTGAAATTTTGATAGATATATAGACACATACAAACAAATATACATATGCACACCATAGTAATAATAACATTGAAAATATGTCCTGAAAAAAACTGTGTAAAGAGTTTTACATAAAGAAATACCGGAATTTGAGGTCTGGAACAAAATAGAGAGCACATGAACTTGTACCATTGTAACTAAGTTCTAAGCTATATCACCTAATGTCTCCAATCGTTGATTAAGGTTATTACGCGAATCTCAACCAGGTAGTTTGCATCTATTAACATGACTAGGTTCAACAGACAATGATTCTATAGATTGATACCACATTTTAATTTTGTCGTCGACATGCTTTTAGAGATAACATTTTTATCATCTCAATTTCCTGGAGTTGAACTTTTACCGGGAGGCTCACATGTTGACTTAGAATACACCGATGACATAGTTCTATTTGGTGAAGACGCTGACAAAATGCAGTCTTCTGACCACTATAAGCAACTACGCAGGCATGTTCGGGATGCGATTCTCCCCCTCAAAGTGCAAAATGTTGCTTCAAGATTGCGTTACATCAGCACCTGAACTAATGATAGGGAGTGAAGTAGTTGAGCGTGTTGACCGCTTCACTTATCTTGGGAGTCTCATCAGCCCTTGTCGTCTGGTGTGTGACGAAATCTCAGCACGGATACAGAAGGCTCGTCTAGCTTTCGCCAACTTGCGTCATTTATGGCGTAGGCGAGATATCCGTCTAGCAACCAAAGGACGGGTTTACTGTGCAGCAGTTCGTTCCCGTCTTACTTTATGACAGTGAAACATGGCCGATAAGAGTAGAGGATATTCGTAGACTACTAGTATTCGATCATAGGTGTCTTCGAAGCATTACTCGTATATCCTGGGACCAACAGGTAAGTAATGCAGTCGTTAGGAAACGGGTACTAGGTAACGATGGCAAATCGATTGATGAAGTAGTGAAACTTCATCAGTTGAGATGGCTGGGACACGTGTTACATATGCCCAACCACCGACTGCCCCGACTTGCGATGCTTTATGGTGTAGGAGAAGGTTGGAAGAAAGCTAGGGGTGACCAGTCCAAAACGTGGCACAAATCCATGAAGTCACTGACAAGTGGACTGAACCATGCTGGTAGGTGTAGACTACCTGGTTGGGATTCGCGAAATGATAGTAACCGATGGTTAGAGACCTTGAATGACATGGCTCAAAATCGTTTGCAATGGCGAAGGTGCATCCACATCTTATGTTCTGCCGAATTCTAATTTACTGAATTCTTCATGTCTCTATCCTTTTTCTCTTTCCAAATTTATTTCACTGTATTATACTCCTTCAATAACATCTTCAAACCCTAATCTTTCACATAATGCTTATACTAATACTACTTCTACCACTATGAGATTTGAATCGACAATTGCATCTCTGTGCTAATGTGATATGGCAACTTGAACTGATATACGTACGTACGAAATTCTACGTTGTGACTGACTAACTTAATTTGGCCATGTTCCTAGCATCCTTTCAAATGACTCTTACACATTAGCTGACATTTAAACAGACGGTAATCATGAAACATTTACTGAATAGTAATAATAAGTAGTACTTACCAGGAAATAAAAAATTCAATAAATCTTTCATATTCGAGAAGGGATTTGTATCATTACTTTCCGATATCAATGAACTATTCACATTTGGTGATTGATTATAGAATTTCTTAGCTACTTCAATTAATACATTGATATTAACAGGTAAAAATATTGGTTTACGTAATGGATCTTTATCAGATAAATCATCATCTGACTGACCAAAAGGATAACATGGAACTGGAAAAAAGTGTAAATTAGCTGTACCAGCTTTTTGATACCATAATGATACCTGTAAGAAAGACAGATGAGGCGATAAAACTAATGGCAATAGTCATAATAATAAAGTTGATTATCTTAAGAAAATGGTTAGTTTGAAACTAAATTTCATCGTAAAAGTAGAGAAGAGACTTTGTATGTTATGGTTATCAGAGCAATATAATTAATACAGACTCAGTAGAAAAGATGGAGTAGAACAGTGACATTACCATTTATTGATGAAGGATTGAATTATTAGACGTTTACAATCCTCTTAGTTCGGTGATTATAGGTAGCCAGGAGTAAACTCTGAACCTAAGCTTTTTGTTAGTTGGCATATAGTACCAAGAAATATTCATAACATTCAGGGGAGTAGTGCGAGAGCTAAACATAGAGCACACAATGTGACAGTTTGAGACGTTACACGCTTGAAATATTCGAGCAGTGACGAATCTTACATAAAAGAGTGAGATGCTAATATAAGGAAGATACTGTTGATACCGATTGATTCAGAGTTTTTTACAGATTATTTGTAAACGCCTTAAATCAAAACAGTTCATAGGACAACTGATCACTAATGCTAGCACTCAAATTAAGACTTGATCAATAAAATTCAGTCAGTACTAAAAAAAACTAGACATATGTGACATTAATAACTTCTCAATGATCAATCTAAACTTCAAAGTTTACATAACGAAGTGGTTTTAGTCAGACAACCACTGAAAAGCAGAAAACACTGGACAGTTAAGTCATCCTACTATGAAACTCTTTAAAAGTTAGCATCTATCGCCTCATTGAGCGTTGAATCTATAACCTTTAAGTCCTGCAGTGAGCACTTAATCTTACTTACTTATTTACGCCTGTTACTCCCAATGGAGCATAGGCCGCCAACCAGCATTCTACAACACACTCTGTCATGGGCCTTCCCGGTTAATTCTATCTAACTTTTGTTCATTCTTCTCATGTCTGTCTACATTTCTCGGCGTCATGTGTTCTTTGATAGTCCTCTTTTCCTTTGGCCTTCAAGATTCCATGTGAGGCATCGCCTTGTGACGCAGTTGGATAGTTTCCTCAATGTATGTCCTATCCACTTCCACCGCTTCTTCCTCATGTCTCCATCCACTAGATGGAATGTGGTTTGTTCTCTTCCACAGTAGGTTGTTGCTGATAGTGTCTATCCAACGGATCAGAAGTATTTTGCATAGACAATTGTTAATAAACACCTGTTTGTTCTGGATGATGGCTTTCGTAGTTCTCCACGTCAGTAGAACTATCTCGACATTTGTATTGAAACTTCTGATCTTGGTGTTGGTTGACAGACATTTGTTTTGAGTTGCAAATGTTCTTCAGTTGTAAATATGCTACTCTTGCTTAGCCAATCCGCTCCCTCACATCTGCATCAGATCTGCCTTTAGCTCCTCCGGGGGCTACTGCCGGTCCCAAGCCCAGATAAAGGAGGAGGGTTGGGTATGGGGTTAGCGACCCTATCCCATAGAAAAATAACTTGCTAAAAGCACGCTAACCAGCACTTAATTTTAAGACCACTAAAACAGAATCCATTAACTTAAATATCGACCTTTAAGAAATTCATGTTATTACACAAACAACCTGAAATACCATAAGTAAATTAATTGCCTACAGTAATTATTATCTATGTGGATAGGTTGTTTGTTATTTCTTATAACACCTTCACTGTCTTCCAACTTTTTATTTTAGACAAAGAAATCATGAAATTATTAAAACAGAATCAAATACAATTTGATTTCCAATTCTCATGACAACATATCAAAGTGAATAAGCCAAGTGTATATATATTAAAAAAAAGACATAAACAATTACAATTGATTGATCACTGGGTGGTGATCAATGTTATGCATTTCAAGTCCATCTTAGTGCTGATCGAATGCTATCGATCAAGTTGCAATGTGGCCACTAGTCTAGGTGACTCGACACTGTGTGCACTATGTTGAGATGAGATGGTGGTTGGAGGTGGTCAACAGAAAACCCTGGACCTAGGTTTCGTGCTACTTGGCACTCGTCAGCAAGGCGTACTTGTAATCTTGAGGGAACTGGAGCTCCCCGACGGATTCGACCCCGTGTCACTCAGCTTCACAGTAAGAGACGTTACCACTGAGCTATTCGGGCCGTGACCGACCTGCTGTAGGACTGAGATGTAATCACAATTGATTGATCACTAGGTGGTGATCAATGTTATGCATGTCAAATCCGTCTTAGTGCTGATCGAATGCTATCGATCAAGTTGCAATGTGGCCACACTAGTCTAGGTGACTCGACACTGTGTACACTATGTTGAGATAAGATGGTCGTTGGAGGTGGCCAACAGGGTGGTTTCCTGTTACCAAGGTATCCACTGTTAATTTTCATTTTTTTAAAACAAACAAACATAAAATATGAACACAGAGAGAGGGGGAGAGAAAGATTAAAAACCAAAAAAAAAACCGATTAATATATGCATTAAAACAATGAAATTTATTCGACCATAACTAAATTTTAATGTAAATTCATGTATTCAAAGGTCATGTAATACATTAAAAAAAAGAAAAACAGAGTAAGCAATAAAAAAAAAGAAAGAAAGAAAGAAGGAAGGAAGGAAGAAGTAAAGAAGAGAAAAGAAACATGGTCATCATTGAGAAACGGAGTAAGACATCTTTAAAAAAAATAATAAACATAAATAAATGAAATGTCTTTTTAAGGTTAAACATTAAGATTCATTGAAGCTTGACAGTATCAAAAGCAAAAAAAAAGAAGAAGAACATGATTCTTTAACAGAAGTATCCGTCACGAACATAATCTATAAATTAAAATCATCTCTGTAGAACTTAGTAGAAGTATTGTATTAGGGATGAATTAGTCGGAATAGAGAAAGTAACTTTTAGATTCTGATGCAAAATTCAAATAACATGTATGACGATCAGTGAAAATACTTTTCTATACCAAATGCCCTGGTACGGCCGAGAGTGGGGAGAGTTAGCTCTCCCTCTCGAAATCTTTTCATATGGCCACGCGTATATAGACTCTGTCAAGAAAGTCCTACTCACTGTCTCCTCGGGACATTACTGTTGTTTACGAAATTGAGAGGATGAAAAGCGAATATCTGGCGCTTTAACCGGGTTGGTGGATACGGAATGTTCACCTAGGGGAGTTGGAAAACATTGATTCCAAACCAATGGTGAATATGGGCTCCAGTATCCTGAGGGAACAAATGGCGTATGAATCAATCGTTGATCACCAGCTACCATGGGATTGCATCTCCTCACGATGCTCCACTGCCTTGTGGATCAGACCTATAAGTCAAAGGCTCCATCCGTCAATATAAGCTAGATGATTGGTGAAAACCTGGATTCAATGGACGGTCGTTTCGTCATAGTTTCGAACTTCTCGGTAGTGCGCATCCACGATTCCGAGCGAGGAACTCGAACCCAGAACCTTCAGTCTCGCACATGAACACTTAATCTCTAGACCACAGAACCGGCATCCAACAGTGTTAATGTCTAACTTCAGTCAATCCATAATTTTCATAACCCTTCATCAATCGTTTGAGGTGGATAACTGCCTCACATCCGACATGGATTGGACTCCATTGGTTACGGCTTCTCACTATAATTCTAGGAAATCCATTCTGAAGCTATTCACTAGTGAGCATATGATTATTATTAGTATGGGGGATTTGTGGAGATTGTAGTATTTTAGTTTATGAAATACAAAATATAATATGAAATTTGTACTACAATAATAATAATAATAATAATAATAATAATAATAATAAAGTATTGATGTTGCTAATGAGAAAGTAATCTAGAATGTTGACCAAATAAATGAATCTGTCAGTAATTGAGTAGTTTCACAAAATCAAGAGAGTGAAGCAGACCTCTGGTGTCTAAACCGAGTTGATGGATTTGGAGGTTTAATCTAGTGGAATTACAAGACCTTGATTCTAAGATAATGGTGCAAGAGAGTACCATGGTCATATCGAATGATGCAAAGACATATTTTGGTCAATAATTACCATAGAACAGGATCTTCCTAGACTACATTAATGCCTCGTTGATTAGACCTTTAAATCAAACGATCCTTGTGATCCTATACACTAATCAATTATTTGAGCACATAGTTAGTATACCAGCCCACACAAACGTGTGGTAAATTCTTTTGATGTTTCATTATACTACAATTCTTGTCATAAATCAATAAATGACAACCAACAACAAACAACTGTACGCACGAATTAATAACTGATAGACTTCCGTCAAAACTGAAAATCATACATATTGAATATGTATTCCTAGTAAGACAGATATACGAAAAAAAATAAACTCACCAATTCAGCCATTCGTCCGCCTGTAACTACAAGCCATTGAAGTTCTATAGAAAAAGCACAAGTTGGATAATAATTTGCATCATATACACAATGAGCCCATTCAACTGGTCCATCATTATTTGGTCCATCCAAATCACATAAACAACTTTTACGAAGAACTTGATCAATTTCTAAAATACAATATAATACACTAAAGTTAAAGAAGACACTTTATGGTATAATAATAATGTCAATGAGCTGGTCGTAATCAACGTAGTCCCCTTTCATAAATGAACATTGGTTCAAGTTTTTAAACTGAATTAGTGCAATGAGATTAAATTAACACGTTAAGTAAAGGAATCTAAATAATGCAGTTACTACTATTCCGAGAAAAACCAAACACTGAGAATATAATTCAAGAAGATCAAGAAAAAAGGTATGTATGAAAGAATACTGGGACTCAAGATCTGGAGCAAAATAAGAAATAAATGAATCTCAACCATTGTGATCAATTCTAAGACATATCAACCACTGATTAAAGTTATCATGAGGATCTCATGACTCACATCAACAGTCAATGACTTTATGGATTGATATTGCTTTCTAATTTGGCCGTTCCTACCTTTCTTTCAAACAACTCTTACTTAAGTTTATATTATGTGTTGAGGAAGGGTGCATTTGGGCACACATAACACATGTCTCAGGCGCCTTATTATTAAGATATTTATATGCGGGGAATCAGAAATCAAACTAGACTAACAGGAACCCAGGAAAAATATTGATCATCATACTGTTCTCGATATTAAATTTAAATCAATATTATCAAGGTAGGAATACAAGCTAATTTTGGACAGACACACGATTTAAATATTTCGTATGGTTAACGTTTCAATAAACAAACCAGAGTATTTACTAGCACCTTAACCAGTTTATACAACGCGGAAAAGACTGGAGGTTAGTTCGATTCTATAACTCACTTTAACAATATGCTTAGTTATAGAGAAGGATGAAAATTTGTTGTATGTTTTTATATGGTCACCGTAATCTAGTTGGTAAGACAAAAACCACATGAAAAATGTGTTTGTAGCACAGGACAAACATATCTTTCATTTTCAGAAGGTATTTGGTGGAGATTTTAGTAATTTTATAGAGTTGAGATCATGAGTCAATTGAAGCTAGACCACCATGAAGTTAAACATTAACACCGTTGGATACCGGCTCAGTGGTCTATCGGTTAACTGCTCTGACGCGAGGCTTATACGTCCTGTGTTCGAATCTCGTGCGCCTGGATCGTGGATGCGAACTGCTGAGGAGTCCCATAATAGGACGAAACGGCCGTCCAGTGTTTGCAGGTTTTCCATGGTGGTCTAACTTCGATTGACTCATGATCTCAACTCTATTACATCTTTCATTTTTTGTCAAAAGTTACCTAGAATGAAGAATATGAGATTAACAACAATTTATCTACTCATTAGTAAAAAGATTAATCTCTAGATCACTGATCCGTGTCCAGAGATTAAGCATTCATGCGCGAGATCAAAGGTCCTGGGTTCGAGTCCCATGTGCGGTATCATGGATCCGCACTGTCTAGGAGTCCTAATCTAGAACGAAACGGCCATCCAGTGCTTTCAGGTTTTCAATGATGGTCTAGCATAGATAGACTCGTGAATTAAGATGTCAAAAAAAGATTACAATTTCTACAAATCCCCTAATGTTAACTTAAGTTGAAACATTATCTTCAATTTTAAAAAAAAGAATCATGAAAAATCACATGATGAATTCAGATTTCATAGTTAAAGTAAAGTCATATTAAGCAACAAATCGTCTCCTGATGACTGAATAACTTTTTCTCCCGAAATGAAAGAAAAAAACGTCCCGTCTTATTTACATTCTCATTAAATTTTCTTAGACAAAAATGGACGTATAAAAAAGAGAAAAAAAAGAACAAAGAAGAAACAATATCCCCCTCTATAAAGTGATATCAATTTTCTTTAAAATGTAACAGATCACGATAAACCACTAAATCAACTCAAATTACAATTAAGTGTTTAAATTTACTAAGTAATCAGAAGTTATTCCCCCTTGATTTGAATAAAAATTTGGTTGATAAATTTTTAGTGGTTGAATTCATGAGTCGATATAAGTTAGATCATCAGTAAGCCTGGTGGTCGGAGCATGCTAATGAGATGGAAGCAGCAGCTGCATCTGGTAACTGCCGGAAGCTCTTCCAACTCATCCGAGCCACTGGCAGCAAGAAGTCTGGTGTGAGTGAAACAATCTACGAGGATGATGGGATGCCAATCACTAACATCTCCCGACGTCTTGGAAGATGGGCTGAATTTTTCGAAGGCAGTTCAACTGGCTTGCTGCTCCGGCAACATCAACCAGTTTGTCCTGCCCCCCATGGCCGGTGAAGACTGATCCACCAAACGAGGCGGAAGTCCGCAAGGAACTCCAACTCTTGAAACGATACAAATCACCAGGTTCAGATGACTTACCTCCAGCTCTTTTTAAAGATGGTGGTGACTTTCTGGCTAAGGAATTGACTATGTTGTTTACAAAAGTTTGGGAGCAAGAAAGTGTTCCATCATCATGGAATGAGTCAATAGTCGTCCCTATCTTTAAAAAGGGTTCACGTTGTTCCTGTAACAACTAACGGGGGATAAGTCTATTTCCGATTGCGTCCAAACTATTGGCTTCTATCATTCTTCGTAGGTTGTTTAAAACCCGAGAACGATTGACTCGCGAGGAGCAGGCTGATTTTCGTTCTGGTCGAGGATGCATTGATCACATCTTCACCCTCCGCCAAATGTTAGAACACCGTCATACTTATCGCAGGCCAACAATCGTAGTGTTTCTTGATATCAGGGCGGCCTTCGATTCGTTGGACAGGACTGTTCTCTGGGATTGTCTATTGAAGAAGGGTGTGCCTGAGAAGTTCATTAACATCTTAAAGGCCCTGTATACGAACACCTCAGGCAGAGTGAGGGGATACAACCACCATTCTCCCTTGTTCCATTCAAGCATTAGGGTTAGCCAGGGTTGCTCAGTCTCACCATTCCTCTTCAACCTTGCTATCGATGACGTTTTGGAAACAGCTGTGATAGGTGTAGGTAATGGCAGTGTGGATCTGTTGACTGGAGAAAGACTTCTCGACCTTGGGTATGCGGATGATATTGTCTTACTGTGCGATAATGCCCAAGGCATGCAATCCGCACTTAATCAGTTGGCAATCAGTGTCCGCAGGTACGGCATGTGCTTTGCACCCTCCAAGTGCAAGGTACTTCTACAAGACTGGCAAAATTCTCATCCTGTACTCACCCTAGATGGTGAGCAGATTGAAGTAGTTGAGAAGTTCGTGCATCTAGGTAGCGACATAAGTGTTGGTGGTGGCGTGAGTGATGAGATTGATGCACGTATAATGAAAGCCAGAGCGGCTTACGCCAATCTGGGCCATCTTTGGCGCTTTCATGATGTTAGTCGGGCTGTAAAAGGTCGGATCTACAACACGTCGGTGAGAGCAGTTTTGCTCTATGCTTGTGAAACCTGGCCTCTCCGAGTTGAGGATGTTAGACGTCTCTCTGTGTTCGGTCATCGTTGTCTCCAAAGGATTGCTGACATCCAGTGGCAACACCATGTTAGTAATGCAGAGGTTCGGCATCGTGTGTTCAGGCGCAGAGACAATAATTCGATTGGTGTCACCATCTTGAACCACCGACTTCGGTGGCTTGGACATGTTCTATGAATGTCGTTCCAGAGAATTCCACGTCATGCATTATTTGCCAACTCTGGGACTGGTTGGAAAAAGCGGAGAGGTCAGTGCATGACATGGTGTCGTAGCATGAAAGAAAGCTACGAAGGGATAGCTTCTGTTGGTCCTTCACGACTCCCTGGCTGGGGTCCGAGAGATGGTGCAACACAGTGGCTAGAGACGTTATCAGATATGGCTCAGGATAGAAGCCAGTGGCGAGTCTGCTGTAACCTACTTTTACTTTCTTCATAAAGAGTGGCTATAACTTTCCTAACTGAGAGAGCTCCTCTGGTTGTACATTTCAGTTCCCCCCACCATTACTCTTTTCATTTTTTCCTTCTTTTATATATACACATCTTCTTCCTTCTCCTCCCATTCTCAATATTTTGTGTGGCGCATATGTATCCGGTGCCCTTTGTACCAATATATATGTGTTTAAATAAATAAATAAAACCAGTAAAAACCTGGACTCATTGGACGGTCGTTTCGTCATAGTCTCGGACTCCTCAGGATTGTGCATCCACGATTATGCACGTGGAACTCGAGCCCAGAACCTTCGATGTCGCACGCCAAAATTTAATCTGTAGATTACAGCACCGACATCAAACGGTGTTAATGTCTAACTTCAGTCAATAGTTGAAAGTCAAACACTCTAACCCCCAAGTTGTAGCTTGCTCTGTAAAATATAAACAATGCCATGAAAGAGAAGATTTGCAGCTCAGGTGGATGCATTTATTGGTCATGTATTCTTCGTAATTGATGATGTAATCCCGCAGTTGTCATTCTAGACAGCATTTTCATTTCTTACTTCATATAGAAGTGAGTACTTTAGTCATTACACAAGTATTACGTTAGTTCTTTTCAATGAACTTGCTTGTAATTGGCAGTCTTCGTGTGCTTTGTTGACTTCATCTATCCTTTCGTTCACGTTGCCTGTCTTTGATGGTTGACCAATGACCTTATGACTAGTGGACCCCTTCCTTAGATTCAATCTATGTCAATGTTCCAACATAATCTATAGCGTCACTTGTACTAACTGCAAGAAATATTACTTACTTACTTACTTTCGCCTGTTACTCCCAATCGAGCATAGGCCGCCGACCAGCATTCTCCAACCCACTCTGTCCTGGGCTTTCTTTTCTAGTTCTATCCAGTTCTTGTTCATTCTTCTCATGTCTGTCTCTATTTCTCTGCGTAATGTGTTCTTTGGTCTTCCTCTTCTCCTTTGACCTTCAGGATTCCATGTGAGGGCTTGTCGTGTGACACAATTGGGTGATTTCCTCAAAGTGTGCAAGAAATATTACATTGAACAAAGTGTACGGTCCCTTCATCTAAGCCAAAATAAACATAAAACACGATGCCGAACCTCTGCATTACTAACATGGTGTTGCCACTGGATGTCAGCAATCCTTCGGAGACAACGATGACCGAACACAGAGAGACGTCTAACATCCTCAACTCGGAGAGGCCAGGTTTCACAAGCATAGAGCAAAACTGCTCTCACCGACGTGTTGTAGATCCGACCTTTTACAGCCCGACTAACATCATGAAAGCGCCAAAGATGGCCCAGATTGGCGTAAGCCGCTCTGGCTTTCATTATACGTGCATCAATCTCATCACTCACGCCACCACCAGCACTTATGTCGCTACCTAGATACACGAACTTTGTATATCCTTACTTTTCAACTTATGCAGCAGCTCGCCCATGGTAGAATTAAACCAGAAAAGAAAAGAAAGTAATCAATACTTACCTTGAAATCCAGTTTTATCCGGTATTCCAAATAATGTAGAAATTGATGAATATGTTAATAGACCATCTTTAAAAAAACTATTCAATTCATTTACATGTTCATATTTTATTTCTGATGTAGACAAAGATGGACAAGAATCATTTTTAGTGACAGGTATAGTATTATTATTATTATTAGTAGTAGTAGTAGTAGCAGTGGTAGAAAAAGAGGAAGATGATATAGTTGAAGTACTATTCATTTCATTCAAGGAATCATTATTATCAATGCTACTATTCATATACTTTGGATCAAGAATCTGTTGTTGTTGTTGTGGTGGTGGTGGTGGTGGTGGTGGTGGTGGTTTTATCTGATACTCATTTGAACCATAATGAACAATGGATATTTCAGCCCATTCATTTTGAAATACACTAGTCCATTTAGTTGTATCATTTAATAATTTTGGTAAATAATCTTTAGGAAATTGTATAGGTAATTGTTGTAATACATTAATTAATTTATAATTTATATCATTTTGTTTTAAATAAGATAATAATGATGTATTAGTAATTGTATTAGTATAATTAGATGATGTAATTGAAGGTAATGATATAATAGTATTGATAGGATTACTCATAATAGTCGAGGGAGTAGTAGTAGTAGTACTGCAACTATTGTTATTATCATTAGTAGTAGTAGTAGTAGCAGTAGTAGTAGTAGTAGTAGTAGCAGTAGTAGTAGTAGTAGTAGTAGTAGTAGTAGTAGTAGTAGTAGTAGTGATAGTAGTAATGGAAATAGTAGAAGTAGATACATTATTCAATAGATTCGAATTAGCATTCAAAGAATTAGTGTACGGTGAATTTGTTATTGATATTGTACTGTTTGTAGAAGAGTAACAAGATGTATTCAATGATATTGTTGTTGTTAATGTGGATGTAGTAAGGGGAAATATTGAAGATGAGAAACCAGATACTGATTGTGAAGTGTTGGAAGAAGGTGAACTTGTACAGTCTAATCAAGAATAAATAATATTAAGTTAGTACAATTAAATATGAACTATTTGCCAGTTATAATCAATTGTAAATAAGATAAGAAAATATGAAGGAGTTTTGTGGAGATTTCAGTATTTTCATAGTTGAAATCATGAGTCAATTGAAACTAGACCACCATGGAATATCTGGAAGCAGTGGACGGCCGTTACATCCTATTATGGGACTCCTCAGCAGTGATGACATTAACACCGTTGGATGCCGGACGGCTCAGTGGTCTATCGGTTAAGTGCTCTGGCGCGAGACTGGTAGGTCTTGTGTTCGAATCTCGCAAGTTCGGGATCGTGGATGCGCACTGCTGAGGAGTCCCATAATAGGACGAAACGGCCGTCCAGTGCTTCCAGGTTTTCTATGGTTGTCTAGCTTCAATTGACTCATGATTTCAACGATAAGAAAAATTAAATTCTCAATCAATTCATCTGTGGATTGTATATTCCATGAAATTGATATTAGTTGAGATGTCCTTGTAAACTAAGGGATATGGAACAATTGCATAAGACTCATCAGAAGTGCGCAATGATGACCCTACCAGGGATCAAACGCAGTGTCGTGGTCGGAGCTTGAACAATTCACGGTCTAGTGTAACGATCATCTAAAGGTGGTAGTAAGGACTGTCTCACTTGAAATATTTACAGACTGCACTACTAACGAACTCTCACTAAAATTTGAGGAACTCATTTAGTAGTATGAAGTCCTACGACGAAATAGTTGTCAAGTACCCTCTGATCTACAATGGTACTCTGACTGAAGTTAGTCGATTAATCAATTAAATACTAAATAAAACGAGGATGATTAGTTTTGTGTAGATTCCTGACTTGAAAATTATTTTCATCAATGACTTGAATCGATGGGAGAATGATTGAAAATTTTGAAGCACTGAATATTTGTTTGCTTCAAGATTACTCTAGCAGTGGGAACCTGTTATTATCCTACCTTTGAAAAGTCTACTTTTATAAACAAAGACTTGAAAATCCAATGTACCGCATATTGTACATTAAACCAACTATTTATTTGAAAAATAAGTAAACTCACTTGTATTATAGGGAAAGATGGATGGTGACTATCGGTAGATATACCATACATCCTAGAGGTAAGTGGATAACGCAATGGCGTCTGGATGAACGGTGATGGGTTTGAGTCCCCGAATGAAAATCAACTATGGAATGCAAGTAAATCCAGCTGACGAGTCCTAAACAGGAAGAAACGTGCATCCTTGATTTCACTGATAGCCACCATCCATTTTTTTGCTTGCAAATATTGTGATTTAAGGAAATATTGAGGCAATACGCACAATATGCACATAAGCTAATAAGGGGGCTGATCAATTGCAGTCCTAGACATCAATTAGAGAAGATTCAAACAAACAATACAAATGGAATTAAACTCACTTGTATTTGATATATTCAATTGAATTGGTGTAACTGGAGCAGAATGAATATTCATTTCACTATTATCTAATGTAGATAAATTAAATGAAGTTTCAATCTGTGTATTTGTTAATTGTTTTATATCAGGAATAAGTAATGTATAAAAATATGTACCATAAATAAATACATGTTTTGAATTCCCTGAAGTATGACAGATCCAACCAGCTTCTAACATTTGCTAAATATAAGAAGAACAAAAAATTTTGTTTTAATATACAAAATGATAACTTTATAAAATGAATCATTGTAAAGAGAATGATTACTTAAACATAAATATTGGTACAAAGGGGAGGCATATATATATATATATATATATATATATATATATATATATATATATATATATATATATATATGCGCCGCACAAATCTCATTTGATGTGCGTGAGAGTTGTGATACTGCCCAGGTGCCCAGACTGAACCAGGTGGTTTTCTTAGGGGGCCACACCCCAAGCCTTTGACCTAAAGATCTGATCCACAAGGCAATGGAGCATCGTGAGGAGATGCAGTCCCATGGTAGCCAGTGATCAACGATTGATTCATACGCCATTCGTTCCTTCAGGATACTGGAGCCAGTCCATGTGCACCATTGGTTTGGAATCAGGGTTTTCCAACTCCCCTAGTTGAATTTTCCGTGTCTACCAACCCGGTTAACGAGCCGGACATTCGTTTTTCGTTCTCTCACTTTTGTGAACAACACCCCCACCACGAGCAGGCAGTCAGTAGGACTTCCGTGATAGAGGCTATATATTCGTGTGGCCATATGAGAGCATTTCGAGACGGAGAGTTGACTCCCCCCACTCTCGGCCGTACCAGGCCATTTGGGGGCTAAACGATAGACCACTGAGCCGGTCCATAAAATTATCAGTATAGGGTTGTAAAGATTGTTGAGTTGTAAATTGAGATCATGAAGCGATCAATGTTAGACCACCATTGAAAACCTAGAAGCACTGGACGGCCATCCTGGGTTCGAGTTCCGAGTGAGGGATCATGGATACGTACTGGTGAGAAGTCCCATACCAGGATGAAACGGCTGTCCAGTGCTTCCAAGTTTTTAATGGTAGTCTAACATGGATCGGTTTATGATCTCAATTATAAAATTATCATTTAGAATTTACAAAAATTATTTAATACATAATCTGAGATGAAAAGGTTTCAAAATTGTAAGTATCAGTGTAAATTTATTCAAACAGTTCACTTCTACCCGAAGTTTGTGCTGATGATGTCGTTCAGAAGGACGATGAAAGCTCCACAACCAAACCATCTAGCTCAGAGAACAAACCTACATCAAAATTTATTTTCTAATATAACTATGAAAATTCCTTATTTACGTGTTTACTCTATGTTTCAATATCAACTTTCAATGGTACATTAACAACGGTCGCATTAATTTTATTAACATTTGTTTCACAAAAGTATATTTTTTTATTTTCGATCAATCGGATAGTAAATATATCGAATTACGATGAATTACTTCTAGATATTGTTGAAGTTTCAGTGAGCTCAGAAATGTCGGGTGTAGAATAGTTTTCACCGATTACATTTGATGATCATAGCGTAGTATCTAAAACTGATTGAAGTTGAGATTTGATCAATGAAAGCCGGTTAAGTGTTTTTAATGATTAAGCATTCGCCACGAGACCTGAAGGTCGCGAGTTCAATCTCTTACTAAACGAAACAGCTGTTCATTGCTGCCTGGTTTTTAATGGTATGTTAAGTAATACTTCAGTGACCCTGTATCTGACTACTGTGTGATAGTATGAATGATTGCTATCGAAATGTACATCACAGCTACCCTCCTACATAATCAACGACTTAACTAGCGTTAGTAAATAATGGAATTAAATAAGTCAAATACGAGAATGAATTCCGAATACGTATACTTCACACAACCGTTTATCTGGACAGACAACTAGGGAAATGAACCGGAACGAAATGATGCGCAGTGAACGCGAATGAGCCAACTCGTCTTAATCAAACGTGAATCAATATGTATAGTCAAACAAAAATAAGTTACAGACACATGATCAATGGGGTAAGTAAATGACATATACGATCTCATAAAAAACAGTAAAGGTTAATAAGCGAATACGTGACATAGTAAAAGTGTTGCTTGAGAGGAATGAATAAATTGGTCTGTCCAGAGGCTAGAATGACATATTTAGGCTTGACATAGCACCAGCACCTGCAAGAACAATCTGTGACAAATACAACCTACGACTGTTAAATATGCCCAATTTCGGTTTATGTTTAAAGTATTTATTAAGCAAGTGAAATGAAACAAAACAGCCGCTACTGATGAGACCTTATCTTCTAACAATAATTCGTCCAATTCAGAATAAAAGCCACTTTTATAGTTGGTTAAGGATTAAATAGAAAGATAGACACAGGAGCTTAGTGATTTACAGGAAAGTATTATCTCAAAACAAACTGAAAATAACTGAATTTTTGAGATAACGAAATTCAAATTACAAGTTAAAATCCCACACTACCAACTGGTTTTAGTTACTGAACCATTGGAAATCAGTAAATACTAAACATCCATTTCATCTTCATATAAAAATTCTCAGAACTGAGCATCTGTAACTATGATAATGACTGAACCTAAGATCTTCAGAGCTCTCAACGGGCACTGAGTATTGAGTCTACATTTTTAACTTCAGTTAATTCATTATTTTGCACAACCATCGTCCACTATCATGACTGATAGGACTGAACTCCATTGATCACTGGTTCTTATTAGAACTCTAGGAATAATCTTGCAAATTTAGTCATTTTTAAGCATATGATTATTATTGTAAGAATAGTCTGGGTAATTAAACTTCAAATTCAACAATTCTCATTACACCTTACAATAATTATAAGCAGACATGAATGGATGGTGGCTAGTGATAGAATCCAGGATGTGCGTCTCATTTTATTTGTGACTTGTCAGCTAGATGTACCATACGTTCCAGAGTTGATGTTTACTCCGGAATTCGGAGTAAAACGCCATTGACCTATCCACTTAGCTACTAATTGATCAACACATCTGGGATGGACAGTACATTCATCTGAAGAGTCCAAAACAGGAAGAAATGCGCGTCCTGGATTCCATTGATAGCTAACATCCATCTCTGCTTATAATATTTGTGACTTAAAATGATATCGAAGCAATCTTCACAGAATGTACATATACTAAAAGAGACTGATCAATTGTAGTCCTGAACATAAAAGAGAATAGTCAAATACACAGAGATTTTACAATTCCAATTAATTAATTTGCATTAAGTTAACAATCTTCATAAAAATAATAGACTACTTGTAGATAAAGAATAGCTTGTTCAATAGTTTTAAAATCAGGAAACCATTTAATTATCCAATTAACTGCATCAATAGAAATGAAAGTATAATTAGGAAACGCATCAGTTGTGGTTGCTGAAATGAACGGCAGACCATTGCTACCGAAGATAAACAAAATCACAGAGAGAGAGAGAGAGAGAAAAAAAAACAAAGATATTAGTTAGAAGAAAAACGAGCTATAAGTACACACAAGCACAAAAAAACATGTATTAGATACAATTACGTAATCACTGAATACAGAATAATCTTATATTTGTTAAGTCCTTTAGTGTTGACCATATTCTTCTATCGTTTACATTGCAATGCGGCCACTAGAATAAATGACTCAGTATAGTGTGTACTACGATCTTTGGGTAGTCGGAAGTATATTTGAGATGAAACACTGTTTGACCAAGATTTTGTCTTTGTCGGCATTTGTTAGGAAACATTGTCTGGGTTACATTCCTAGTATCTCAGTGGTAACTCCTCAGATTGTGAAAGTGAGTGACGTGGGTTCGAGTTTCACGGGGAGTATCAATTCTCTCACGATTTCAGGTAAACACAGCTCATGAAACCTGGGTCAGGTATAGTTTCCTACCAACGACCACTAACTAATTAACATCTGAGGACTTGCTATTATATATAGCTTACATAAATGTTCAATTCGAAGATAGTTCACTTCATGAATTGATCTTAACTAAATGATTTTTTTAAATCGGGGGACACTGAACACAACCGTTTTATTCTTATAAAGGATTCCCTAACATCGGACATCTATAACTTTACCGTGTGTTGGAAATAAAAAAGCTGAGAGCACCGGGAAGCTGTTTCGTTCTAGTATGTGAACCCTTAGTAGTGCGCACCAACGATCCCGTACACGGGACTAAAAACCCAGAATCTTTGGTCTCGAGCGCGAACGCTTCTAGATATTCAGATACCCGCTTGAGGCAATGAATGAAGGGTTGCACAGGATCATGAATTGATTGAAGTTAGACATGAACACTGTTAGATGCCGGCTCAGTGATCAAGAGGTTAGGTGGTCGCGCGCGAGACCGAAGGTCCTGGAGTCGTCCATGCGCACTGCTTCACAGTTTGATTTAAATACCTCACAATAAATTCAGTTTTTAATGAGTGACCTAATTTTTACAGTTAGAAGTTGCTTTACAATGAATGATAATTAAAATAAATAACTTACTCATTATCAACCATCATTAACGCTACCAAATAATAAGTGCTATTAGTATTAGAATTAAATAAACTTGAGTTAAAAATTGAAGTATTTTGTGTAACTTGACCAGGATTTGTAGGTAATGATTGATCTTCAGTATTCTGATATGATAATCCTGGGATATTAGGCAATGAAGTAGTTGAATAAAAATTATCTATGTGAACAATACTTGGTGAGTTGATTGCACCTCCTCGATTAATTAGTTGAATATTATAGTCATTGGTTTCATTCAAAGAACTAGTTGTGTTAATTGGTGTAATAATCGATGGTCGTGTATAAGTGACTGTAGTCAATGGACTATTTTTAGGCTTACAACAAGAAATTGTAGTTGCATCATTTAAAATATTTGCATTAAAACTGGTTGCTGTTGCTGTTGTTGTTGGAGCACTACGATGAAGATCAGATTTTTCTGCAGTAGACTATAAGAAATATATAAATAAATAGAAAGTATAAAATTTCTAACAGAATCGAATTGAAACTGGTATAGTTGAGATTGATTATGAATACAGTGGTCTTGAGTGCTGTTAGAGGTATGAAGGCAGTTATCACTTCCCAGCTGCCCACACCGTGGAAGGGGTTCTTCTAGAGGTACCTGAAAAGGAAATTGGGTTAGAAGTGGACTTAATGACCTGGGAGCATGACCGCAGTGTCCAAGGGACAACTGCTTGAGGTCGGTCACCTGCCTGGTATGGTAGAACCTTGAAGAACAAGTGTTCCAGCCAGTATAGCTAGATTGGTTCATGACGATAGGCAAGCCCGACCACCACGTCAATGTAGCAGCAACGGTCGGGACTGGTATAGTTGAAAACAGAAATAACATGAATTTTAAGCAAACAACAGTCGATCATAAAGATTTAAATCAATGGTTCATCAATTATAACTAACTCATAATATATAAAAAATTAATCGAGAAACCAATTGAAAACTTTGATCAGATACTTATACTTTTGATAAACTTTAAGATAGATTACACAATTTCCAGTAAGAACTAGTGATTAAGAGATGAATTCAATTAGTTCTATGTAGTAAGATACCAATCACTGATGATACATTGAATGATTGAAACACTTCATCAGAACGGGGGTTTGTGGAGATTGTAGCAATTTTAATGGTTGAAATCATGAGTCGATTTAAGCTAGACTACCATTGAAAACTAGGAAGCACTGAACCGTCGTTTTGTCCAAGTATGGGACTTCTCAGCACTGCTCAGCTACGACCCCGCATGCGGAACTCAAACCCAGGACGTTGGATGCCAGCTCAACGATCTAGAAGTTAAGGGTTTGTGGGCGAGACCGAAGGTTCTGGGTTCGAGTCCCGCGTGTTGGATCGTGGATGGGCACTGCTGAACGACCGTCCAGTGTTCCTAAGTCTTCAATAGTAGTCTAGCTAGGTCGCGGGTGTACACACTGGTAAAGAGTCTTAAACTATAATGAAAAAACAGCTATTCGGTGCTTTATGGTTTTCACTAATTGTCCAATTGAAAACAATTCGTAAAACAAACTATCTAACGTTAAAAATTGAACTAATTCCCAATAAAACTAATCAAATTGATTCGTTTTTCTATATACATATGTATATATAACCCAATATCGAGGTAGCCAAGTCAGAGAAAACGTATATAAAAACTGAACCTGTACGATAAAACAGAAACCTATTAACCTTGTGTTCAATTCTGGTCCCTATTCTTTTTAAATAAAACAATAGACTAAGACATAAATCGATTATTGTAATTGCTAATTAATTGAAACATTCAATAACAGTAGCTGGCAATAAACAATATTAGTTATTGGTTTATTTACACAGATATCCCCAACACTCTCTAGGGTATTTCTTATTGATGACTATATATACATATTAGAAAATAAATAAACAAACAGTTTAATGAAGGCCAACTTTTAAGAATAAGAAATAGGTATTTTACTAATATAGGGAACAATTTATTTATTGGAAGTTAATAGAATTTTTGTAATATCAGTCAGTCAGCTACAACATAGGACCAGGCACATATATGCATCGGTCCAAGTTGCCATACCTCGTTAGCACAACAAGATCAACACCGAATTCATAGAAGCAGTTAATTTAGTGGTGGTAATATATAAAAGAAAGACTGCATTTAAGGATATAGTACAGGAAGAAAGACAGATATGAAGAAATTTTAATATCAAGGTTTAAGGGAAGATAAATAGTGCATACACCTACGCCATTGTGATCGATTCTGAGCCATGTCACACAGAGTCTCCAACCATTGGTTACGATAGTCATGTGGACCCCAACCATGTAGTCTGCATCTGCCAACATGGCTCAGACTAGCAGTTAGTGATTTCAAGCTCTGGTGCCATATTCTGGTTTGGTCGCGCCTAACTTTCTTCTAACCATCGCTAATACTGGTCAGTATAGCACGTCGTGGTAATCGGTGTTCAGGAATACGTAACACGTGGCCCAACCATCTCAGTCGATGAAGATTCATGACCTCATCAACTGATTTAGCATCATTCCCTAATACCCTGTAATATACATGTACAGATTTCAATTAATTCATAAATATTATCTTTTAAAGTCTTAAGATGATAAATTAAACACAATAATAAGTCAGTCAATGATATCAAGTTTACTATCATGGACACTGTGTTAATCCGTTTTGTGAGATCAAATCAAGGCTATAGGTTGCATAGACTAACAGAAGTCAAGCGTGGTAATTATATAATTTATATTACGAGTTGACTTCAGTTAGATAGCTATTAAAAACTAGGGAGCAGTAAACAGCCGTTTTGTCCCAGTATGAAATACTCCTCAGAAACTCATATCCGCAACGCATCGGTAAGCGAACCTGTGGATCACTGAACCGGTAGTTAGTGGTTTATATTTCTGACATCAGTCAAATCGCGATATTCCTTAATTATTATCTGCTCCTATCGGTCGGTTAATACCTTATCACCAATATTTCACATTCAGAGGTAAAAAATGAATACTCAATATTTTCGCACTGATGCTTAAAGCATACAGCGCTTTCATCGTTCTCCTGAACAATATAATCAGTACAAACTTCAGGTAGAAGTAAAGTGTTCGAATTTGTCTACATACATCTGTTGACATTGATCTCAATTGGTTATTGTTGACTTTTAATCTGTCATTGTTTACTTCTTTGTTTTGACAGTATCTCCTGTAAAGAAGTAAACAATGTAAGATTAAGGGTCAACAATAGCCAATGAATATCGAGATCTGTAAAACAGGCTGTGATCCATATGTGGAGAAATTCCAACACTTTATTTCTACCTGAAGTTTGTGCTGATAACATCGTTCAGGAGAATGATGAAAGCTCCACAAACAAAACATCTAGCTCAAACAACAAAATTACTAAAATCAACCACTTGAGCGATAAATCTTTACCATCTCATTTATTATTTGTTAGTTTTCTGTTTTTTTTTCCAATACTATCATCATGAATAGAAATTTATAATTACCCCTCCCCCCCAAAAAAAAAAATTAAAGAGAAATAATTAATCATGAATAGACGACTTACTTGACGATTTAACTTTCGACTTGTTATAGGTGTACGTCTTATACGATTAATTGATTCAATAAAATGAACAAATTTTTCACAAGTTTTTTCACGATTTATATTTAAATAATCTGATTCATAAACATCACATTGAATTCGTTGACCAGTAATATGATTACTTTAATCATGAATTAGAATATATTCAATGAAAAGGAAGGAGGATAAAGAAAAGAGAACAGAGAAAGAAACATTCAATAGATCGAATTTTCTTTCTTTATTTATTTGAACACATAAATATTGATACAAAAGGGCACCACATATATATGCGCCACACTAATCTTATTTGATTTGTGTGAGGACTGTGATACTGTCCAGGTGCCCAAACACAAACAGGTGGTTTACTTAAGGGGACATACCCCGACGGAGCCTTTGACCTAAAAGTCTGATCCACAAGGCAGTGGGGCATCGTAAGGAGATGCAGTCACATGGTAGCCGGTGATCAATGATTGATTCGTACGCCATTTGTTCCATCAAGATTCTGGAGCCCATGTGTACCATTGGTTTGGGATCGGGGTTTTCCAACTTCTCTAGGTGGACTCGCCGTGTCTACCGACCCGGTTAAAGGGCCGGACATTTGCTCTTCGTCCTCTCAATTTCGTAAACAACAGTAATGCCACTGTGAGAAGGTAGTGAGTAGGACTTCCCTGACAGAGGCTATACAGGCGTGGCCATGTGAGAGCATTTGGAGAGGGAGAGCGGACCTTCCCCTACTCTCCGGCCGTACCAGGGTATTTGGGGGCTTTTTTGTTTAAATTATAGAGCACTCTGTTCAATGATGAAGATAGTTTTCAGTGCTTGGTGGGGACGATAGGTATTTAGTATTCTGTGAACTATAATATCTAATTGTGAACATTTTGTTAGTAAGTAGATTTAGCGGCAAAATTTGAAGCAATCATTCTGATGACTCATTTGCATGATGATTGCATAACTTTCGCAAACTGATATAACTGCATAACACAAATCATTATCAAGTGCAGATTTACCTAATTAGCTTTCGAGAGATGGTTTGTATGAGAGCTAATAATATTGCCCAGTTTCTCAAAAAAGAATATGTGGAGAGGAGTTTGGACCCAGGACTAATTGACTAAAAACTAAGTACTTTAACTATTAATCCAACACTCCGTTTTAAGTATTACTTTCTAGAATATGTTGCGTGACATTCAACCAGGCGCCAAAGTTTCCGTCCAAAACGACAATGAAAAATCCACTCAGAAAACATAACACAACCAGAAGTATCTATTGAAACTGAAAATCTTTTCCGTCATTTAGAAATAGTACATTATAATCTGGAAATTACTGGCTGCATGATAAACCTGGTCTCATGATTTTTGTCAACAAGAACTGACTTATTACAGTTCTACAATTTATCGTCATATATGTGAAAAATGAACAGCTTAATAAGCAAGTACTCATGCAAACAGTCTTTTGTACTTTTAGCTAGTTAGATCATATCAAGGATTATGACATCATCATTTTCTTTCTTAACATAAGTAATCTTTCCCATCGATATATTCATTACGTAATGAAATCAACTAACACCGATTACAATGATTTCGACCGATTGGAAATTGTTACATATAGTAGTTTCAATTTAAAGTGTGACGTTAACTTTAACCTTGAAATCAAATCTAGTAAACTAGAAGCATAAATGTATATTTAAGGAAGTTGGAGCTGTGGTTTGCTGGTTAAAACGTCCAACTGGCGGCCGCTACGCCTCAGTTACTTCAGTTTAGGCTACCAGAGAGTATCACTAGATCTCATAACAGGATTGTGGCTTATACCCGAGTACCTAGAAAATGAGTTAATTGATCATATTTTTTAAGGATTTAATCAAGTGGAGAATACAGTTAAACATGATAGTTAGAAAAATAAGTGTTTATCTTAAATATACTTTTCATCTTGAATTGAGAGTACTTAATGGAACTTTTAAGAAAAGCCGTATGAAGTACTATTCTATTTTTATTACTGATCGTCAATTGCTACTCATTCATTAATATGAATAATGACCAGAAACTATTTACAGTATGATGATCGCACTAATTCGCAGGTTGATCGAAATTGGGAAGTATTGACTATTCGATGGGAACTTAATGTCTAAATGGTATCACCGATTCTGTGTAGGGGGGCTAAGGGTTCATACCATGCTGAAGGTCGGTATGAAATATATATCTAATGCTTCATGGATTTTAGTTATTATTCAGCTAATATCTATCTATCTTCAAATAATTTTTATCAAGCAGAATTTACATTTAACTTACAATGGATATACTTTTTCATTGACGATTCTATTTGGGTATATGTTCACAATTTACAGGACTTAGATGAGATAAAAATACAATGGGATTTGAAGAATGTTCAATTTGTAGTTAACACTACTGATTGACTTTAGATAACAAAGAAACCACTGAAAACAGAGGATTATGGGAAAGACATTTGTCCCACGACTCCTCCAAAAACCGTGTCCAAGACCTTCTGGATTCATAGTAACTATGCTCTTTAATTAAAGTCCTGTACTGACTGGTGAAAGACTTTGAGATAAATTGAAGTTCTAGTGGCAAAACTTGACAGGAGGGTTCAATCATACCGACATAGAGACAATTATTACCGGTGACAATGGGTGATAGTAACCCATTAATCGAAGTTAGAAATATAGAAGACTGGATGTTAGGAAGTAATGTATTCACTAAGAGACCTAAAGGCTATGTGTTTAGTCTTTATGGAGCCTTTGGCAAGGCTGAAACATCTGTCTAATATCCCTTCATTTTTAGTGGTTCCCCAGGTTTAAATTGAACAACTGAGACAAGCCTATAAACCTAATAAATTCAAAAACATTTTTACGTCCCATAATATATTATTGAATACTGACAGATTCATTTTTAAAAGATAGGTTCTAACTTGATTGAACACTTACTCACGGATAGCTTCAGCCAAACGTCTAGTTTCATTGCTAAAAATCGGTATTACAAAGAAACGACTTCGCCAAAATTTGAGATTCTAAAAACAAAATAAGTTTAAGATAGAAATGATAAATAAAAATATATAGTTTAAATCACGAACTGACTTTATTTCGTAAAACATTGGGGACTAGAGAGCATTGGGTAATTATTTCATCCCATGAAAATGGTTCTTCATTAGTGTCCAAGTACGACTCCGTCAGGAATCGGACCAGTGACCTTTAAGCTAAGTAGTAAATATCTAAGCGTTAGACCACTGATTTAGCATCTAAAATTACACCTTTCAATTTAATCATCATTCGCGATGTAGTGGTGACGATAATCCATAATATAAACACTTTTAAAAAGACAATGTGGACTTCTTATGTTTTAATGTCAATGTGCAATGAAAACTTGTTATTTATTCGGCCCCCAAATGCCCTGATACGACAGAGAGTGGGAAAAGCCCGCTCGCGCTCTCCAAATGCTCTCACATGGCCACGCCTATATAGCCTCTGTCAGTGAAGTCCTACTCACTGCCTTCTCACAGTGGCATTACTGTTGTTTACGAAATTGAGAGGACGAAAAGCGAATTTCCGGCGCTTTAACCAGGTTGGTGGACAGGGAGTTGAAAAACCCTGATTCCGAACCAATAGTACACATGGGCTCGAAAATCCAGAGGGAAGAAATGGAGTATGAATCAATCATTGGTCACGAGCTACCATGTGACTGCATCTCCTTACGATGCTTCACTGTCTTGTGCATCATATCTTTAGATCAAAGGCCTCGGGTGTGTCCCCCTAAGAAAACCACCTTCTTCGGTTTAGGCACCCGGGTAGTATCACAACTCTCACACACATCAAATGAGATTTTTGTGGCGCATGTATATCTGGTGCCCCTTTGTACCAATATTCATGCGTTTAAATAAATAACTAAATGTTATTTATCCAATATTTAACTCGACTGTTTTCTTCGCATTCATAGATAATCTGAAACCAATTTATATCGGAATTAGCAGTGTAAACAAGATGTACATAAAAAAAAGTGCACACACCATTCTGCTCTCTCATACACACGCATGCATATATATATATATATATCCATATACTTTGTTTGTTTAAAATTTTCGTCATAAATCAAAAAAAGTAAAATAAAATACTCAGCATAGTAACAATTCTGAACAGTCCCATTGTGTGTATCCATGTATACTCTCCTAATTTTTTATACTTATGCATGAGGTGAGATATTTTTTTTAAAAAAAAATCAAATATTGATCACTAGTAGTAATCTGAAACATGTTTCAAACATGAATATGGTTAATAAGTATACATATTATCATGTACCAAACGGTACGATTATTATCATTATTATTACATTGAACATTAAAGACAAATGAATGGAAGATATAAATAAGGCTTGTACATAGACAAAACATGTTTAGTACAGTGATAAAAGAAAGCTGATTCATTGAAACAATGATGAAGGTTCAACTAGATGTCGAGATAGATGAAAATATTTACTATTAACTATTATGAATAACAAAAAGAACGGTGAACTTAAATGCGGCTAGAATAATAATAATAATAAGAGATGAAATGGAATAAAAGAGAAATAATAATAATATTGTAGCTAGCAATGGAATCTAGAAACTGCGTTACATCCTAGTTGGGGTATATGAACTAGATGTAGAAATAATACTTTGCAGAATAATCTGATTATTGAGTCTGCTAGTGTATGAAAGTTATGATCTATTACTTACTTGCGCCTGTTAACTCTCATGGAGAAGAATAGGTCACACAACAGCATTTACGTCTAATTCTGTCCTGAATAATCCTTTCATGTTGTTTCCAGATGCTATTCACCCTTTTCATGTCTCATTCCAATTCTCAACGTAATGTGTTTTTTTGTCTTCCTCTTTCTCATTTTTCTTCAAGATTTCAAGTTAATACCCGTTACGTGATGATTGGTGATTTCCATAAAATATGTCCTATCCACCTCTAACGTCTTTTACTAATTTCCTTCTCAGATGAAAGTTGGTTTGTTCTCTCTTACAGTAGGATGTTGCTCATAGTATCCGGTCAACGGACATTCATTATCTTGTATAGACAATTGTTTATAAATACTTGTACTTCTTTGATGATGGCTGTAGCAGTTCTCTAAGGTACAGCTCCGTACAGTAGAACTGTTTTGACATTCTGATTCTGATTTTGGTAGACAATTGCTTCCAGTTTCGCACGTTCTTCAATTGTAGGGATGCTTTCTTTGTCTTGCCAATCCTCGCATTTACGTCTGCATTGGATCCTTCACGTACATTGATGATGCTGCTGACCAGCTACGTCAAATTTTCCACCTCTTCCAGAGTTTTTCTATCAAGTGCAATTGAGTTGAAGTTCTCCGTGTTGTGTTTCAGGATCCTGCTTTTTCCCTTATCTAAGTTGAGGCCTACTTCTCCAGAGACTGCTGCTACACTGGCTGTCTTGACCTGCATTTGTTGTTTATATTATTTATTTATTTAAACACAGAAATATTGGTACAAGGAAGCACCAGATATACATGCGCTACACAAATCTCATTTGATTTGTGTGAGGGTTGTGACACTGCCCAGGTGCCCAAACTCAAGCAGGTGGTTTTCTTAGTGGGACACATCCGGAGCCTTCCACCTAAAGATCTGATCCACAAGGCAGTGGAGCATCGTGAGCAGATGCAGTCACATGGTAGTCGGTGACCAACAGTTGGTTCATACGCCATTCGTTCCTTCAGGATCCTGGAGCCCATGTGCACCATTGGTTTGGAATCAGGGTTTTCCAACTCCCCTAGGTGTATCCTCCACATCCACCTGTTATATCCCCTGGTGAATTATGAAAGGTAACTCTAAGGTCTATTTATCGACCAATGTATTATGCCTATTTCCTATTGTACAATTGTTACGTAACTAAACTATTCATATTTGTGTTTCTCTTATCATGAGCTTTATTTTGATCTTTGGTTTATTATCATACGAATCTTGAGTTATAATCAGTTTATTGATTACTTTGGTTTGTATAAAAACCCAGTATGTTTGTAAATAATGATTCATACCACTGAGGCTGTTATTGGTGTTTTGGACTTAATTGGCTGGGCTAGGCAGATCGCAGGACCGGTTAGCACACTAGTCTGCTCGTACGGGTTTCGTGTCACTGTTCCAATCGAGAATTCGCTCTCCCTAATTGGCGGTCTCATCAAGTCACACATCAACTACTCATCCACTCGGCCACAAGCATAACACCACCAACCCGGTTAAAGCGCCGGACATTCGCTTTTCGTCCTCTCACTTTTGTGAACAACACCCCCGCCACGAGAATGCAGTGAGTAGGACTTCCGTGGCAGAGGCTATATACGCGTTGCCATATGAGAGCATTTGGAGAGTTAGAGCAAACTCTCCCCACTCTCGGCCCTACCATGGCATTTGGGGGTCATCTGCGAAGTCCTAATCGTCTAGTTGCATCCAAATTGTCTATTGAATTCTGTGCTCCCCCTTATGATCCATTAGTTTAATTGAATTGAACTTTCTCCATATAAACGTTAACATTTTATTTAAGTCAGAAAAGAAAGTGATCAATCTAGATATATGGACATATTATGACATGATATTATAGTGGTTCCAGAATTTAGTTTCCAATTAATGAGTAGGGGGTAAGAAGCTCATCCCAAGAAATTCACTCAATGTATTCGAGAAGTATCATTAGTTCTTACTAAAAAAAACCATATTATTCTACTTCCTGTGTATGAGAAGTAGGTTTCAAATGAAGTTAACGTAAAAACAGACCTTCAACGCTTAATCCAGAATGCGAATACTAAGGTCCAACTCTAAGAGAACTGAGAAACGTCGATTCGAATGAGTAATGTATATAACAGAACATTATTATCACTATTATTGTAATTATCATCATCTTGAAAAATAGGTATATATATTTGTGATTGTACAGTTTTGAAAATTAATTTGCCGAAAAGAAAACTTTTCGCTCAAACTAATATTTATTTAATAACTTTTTTAGTCGCCTACTAGTCCCCCAGAATCACCTACACTTTAAACCTAGACGGCAATACAGAAAAAAAAGTCACATTCAAAGTTAGTTTATGTACAGAAAAAAAATTATGTATTGAATCAATTGTGACTTTGAAATACTAAAAACTTCTGGAAACATTCTAAGATGGTAAGATATTCAATAAATGTCCGATCAAGATAGTGGAACACATAATCAGTAGCTTCTTACAGTTCTCCACGAAGTTTTTAACGAATACTAACTTGTGCATACATTTACAACATCTTCCTGGTCTCTGGAAACATATTAGAAAAGTTTCCAGGTCTTCTAACAAAACAAAAAAACAGTTGTTCAATGCCCTCATAATCGTTTTAAGTGGCTTTTCAACCGATGTCAGTTTATAGTGTGAACACGTTTTGCATTGTTCAAGTTTATTTGATGTTGGACACATTGTAAAATAGCTTGTAATAAAAGATTTATGATTATCATGGTATGTGTATTTGATCAATAAAGCTTTACCTTAAAATAATGTTACTTTTAATTATACAATTTGTATGTATCGTATACTTTCACATTATTAACAGTGATGTCACAAATGTTCGCCAAAAAAAGACAATTTATGAATAGCGTCTGTTCATACGATATAAGCTAATAATTGTTTTAGATAGTCTCTCCCTTCTGTATTAACCTAACAATACCAGTAAATTGGAGTGCGTTCTCTCTCTCTCTCTCTCTGTATATATATATTGGTTTGCCGCACTTGAGTATTCGTTCACTTCAGTAGTTATTATTATTATTATTATTATTATTATTATTATTATTATTATTTGAACACATAAATATTGGTACAAAGAAGCAACAGATACATATGCGCCACAGAAATCTCATTTGATTTGTCTCATGGTAGCCAGTGACCAACGATTCACTCATACGCCATTTGTTCCCTCAGGATACTGGAGTCCATGTGCACCATTGGTTTGGAATCAGGGTTTTCCAATTCCCCTGAGTGAACATTCCGTGTCCACCAACCCGGTTAAAGCGCTGGACATTCGCTTATCGTCCCCTCAATTTCGTAAACAGCAGTAATGCCACTGTGAGAAGGTAGTGAGTAGGACTTCCCTGTCAGAGGCTATATACTTGTGGCCATGTGAAAGCATTTCGAGAAGGAGAGTGGACTCTCCCCACTCTCGGCCGTACCAGGGAATTTGGGGGTCCAGTAAGCTACTGTTCTATTAGGTACAAGTTGGTTTATTTCTGTTTGAATTAACTGCTGACAACATTGTCCTCAAACAAGACGATACCAACAGGAAATATGCATCGAAACTATGAACTTTCTCATTCATTACAGAGATTAACTTAAAGTAAGACTCACGTGATTCTCAAGTCATAGAAACAAACAATTTAAAAAAAAATCATAACAAATTGAAATGGAAATACACATAAACAAACATGATATAATGTATATTAGTTACCGGGAGTAATCGAAATGAATCACTAATTCCACGATTACATAAATAATTATCAAGATAATTCCAATTTAAGATAATTGTTGAATCACTTGTAAAATTAGTATGTAATGAAACATAAGATTTTGCATCTGGAACTTGTAATGCATATGAATAAGTGATTTTAATAAGTTTATCTATTTCTCTAAAAAACAAAGATGAACAAACACAAACAAGAAAATTAGTTACTTATTCATCTTTTGATTCAAATCAAATCAACAAGGAGATAAAGAGTGGATAGTTCTTTGATTCCAAACTAAGGTATCATGAAGGAGTGGAAGGCTACAATGACATAGAGGATCGAATGATGAAGTTAATACCCGACCGTTGCTGCTACATTGACGTGGTGGTTGCCTATCGTGATGAATCAATCGAGCTATGCTGGCTGGAATAAACGTTCCTCAAGGTCCTACCATGCCAGACAGGTTGGTTGAAGAGCGGCAAGATTAAAAGCAGCAAACCCAAGGTCCAAAGGCGAAGTCGTACTGCCGACTGTACAGAGGTGTGACAACAGTAAGGTGCTTCCTTCAGACAACCAGTATAAGAGCGACGCTGTCTTCCCACAAGGATGGGTGAGGTTAGAAAAAACGACCCTAAAAATGCACACCTCGCCTTATCCCACGGATTTCCGTCTCCGTCGGTAACGTCCTTTGAAGAACGGAGCTAACACGTCAAAAATACCCCACAAAAAGGCCGTGCGTGACCGGCCTCAAGTAGTTGTCCCTTGGGCACTGCGGTCACGCTCCCAGGTCGTTAAGACCAACACTAATCCAACTTCTTTTCAGGTCCCTCAAGAAATACCCTTCCACGGTGTGGGCAGCCCGGGAAGTGATATTAGCCCTCATACCCGTAACAGCACACAAGACCAAGTTGGTCACTTTCAAATCCTGACTGACTGACTGACTGATGAAGTTAAGCCATGATGCCATTAAGACGATATATAATAGTCGATATGTTTAACTTTAGCCAATCTGTACATATAATTTGTGCACTAGTTGAGCCACACTTCATACATGAGGTATAATGATATCATCCGGCTGTCTAGACTGATTAGGTGTAGAAGGGCTAGAAATCACGAACTAATAGTTGAAAGTAAAACATTTTAACAACTAAGCCACTGTTTTACAGGAGTAGGTAACAAGTTTGAACCCGTGCATCATCTAATTTGGTTCAAAAAACCGGATAACTTGGATCGCTTTACTGGAGAGTCTTTCATTGTCTTTCTAAACAATATCATCAATACAATCTTTTATGTTTTGTCAAAAACCATCCCTTTAGATTACGGATCTTTATCATCAAACTTGTTACCTAATCCTACTAACCACTATTACTACTCACTTGCTGTTGTTTATTTGTATCTTCTTGTATCTTGAATTTAAACTTCACCTCATCGCACAAGCAAGTGGCTATCAGGACTCAGTGGCGGAGTGGATAACGTGATGGCGTTTGAAGCGAGGGTACTGGGTTCGAGTCCCAGAATCTCCCAACTCTGAGATGCAGGTACATCCAGCTGACGAGTCCCAAATAGGACGAAACTGGATTCCACTGCTACCCACTATCCATCTTTGCTTATAATGCTTGTGAATTAAGGCTATATCGAGGTAATATGCACAGTATGCACATATGCCAATTAGAGACTGACCAGTCGCAGTCCTAAACATCAATGGGAAGATCAAAACAAACAATATCAAGTGAATTTAAACTTCACCCCATTGAACAAGCAAATGGATATCAGGATTCAGTAGCTAAGTGGATAATGAGAAGCGAACGGTATTGGGTTCGAGTGCCAGAGTCAACATCAACTCTGAGATACAGGTACATCGAGCTGACGAGTCGCAAACAGGATGAGACGCGCGTCCTGGATTCCACTGCCAGCCACTACCCATCTTTGCTCACTATTACTATTGTTAGTCATACGGGAAAAGTTACTTTTATGAATGGCAACCAGACAAATATAATAATACCACCACTAGCTAATAAGTTGAGCGAACGGTGAAAAAGATAGTAACCAAGTGGTAATAATCATAATAATTACCATTATTATTGTTATTAGTAACTAAAAGGGAACAGTTATCATTATAATAAGAAATAAATAAACAAAAACAAAAAAAAACAATTATCCTCAACGAACCGATAACTTGTCACACCAATTGAATCTTCATCTAATGAAATTAAATGAAATAAATGGCCAATACTTAGTTTACGAGTAGTTGTTGTCTAAAAAGAAAAGGGAGGGAGGGAGATAGAGAGAAAGAGAGAGGGGGAGAAACAAAAAATGAGTGAAAAACTGGTGAAAATATTTTATTTAAAACAGAAATAATTAACTCCTTTATACAATAACACAAAAACAAACATAGAAAAGGGTGTAAACAACAACCATAAATAAGTTACGGGGCATACACAATAATAATAATGGTAATAATAATAGACTAATAAGCTTATCAACATCAAACATAGATGATAGTAGACTATAATGCATACTATTAACGATGTATTCCCACAGAGGACAAGAAGAGAAAAGGTAGACCACATAAAATAAGGTATGCGATAAATAGATTTACAAAATGAAACTAATTTGACAATGTAGTAGTTATTTGTACAAATTACAATTGCCTACACCTTTAATATGAGGATGCTGTTGCTGATGATGATAAATATCCATTGAATTTTTTTGTTTAAATGATTAATATGAAGTGAAATATGAAAAATAGTTTGCCATTTTACTTTTTTTTGAAAACAGAAGGGGTTTCGTGGAGATTTAGTATTTTCATAGTTGAAAGCGTGAGTCTAACAATGATCATATGCTCACTAGTGACTAGCTCCATGAGGTATTTCCTGGAGTTTTAGTGAGAAGCAGTGACCATTAGAGTTCAACCAGGTCTGTTGAAAGATAGTAACTCACTGAAGACAATGGTGGACGGTTGCTCAATTTCATGGATCGGTTGAAGTTAGACATTAACATCGTTGAGTGCCGACCGGCTCAGTGGTCTAGAGGTTAAGCATGCTCGCGCACGAGACCGATTTTGAGCAATGTCATTCAAGGTCTCTAACCATCGATTGCTATCATCTCGCAGATCCCAACCAGGTAGACTACACCTACCAACATGGCTCAATCCAATTGTCAGTGACTTCATGGATTTGTGCCACGTTTTGGTCTGGTCGCCCCTAGCTTTTTTTCAACCAACATACCTACAAAGCGACGATTGTTCAATTCTGTTACTCATAACTGTTTCATTACACGAAACTGACAGTATTCCATTATTATTAATGATGGTTTATTAATTACACAGAAACAGAAATATTCCTGTTTCGTTTGTTAAAATGAACTTTGTGATTCAGTTGGATAGTTTTTTTTAGATAGTAACAAAATATCGATCTTTCAACAACAACAAAAAATACAAATCACAGTGATCAGAGTGCAGTGATTAGAAAAATGTGCAATTGTGTGCTTGGTACACAATTTATAACCATGGAAGTTGAAAGTAGTCTCAGATTTCAACTTCAATTTATTAGACCTAAACAAATGCACAGATACTTTAATTAAGAACTATTGTTAAACACAATCATTTGAGATTTTTATTTTCAAAATAATCAATAAAGTAACAATATTTAGATCATCTAAGTTAGAATTTCAATACGAAAGTCAAAATAGTTCTACTAAATGGAGCTGTACCTTAAAGAACTGCTACAACCATCACCAAAGAAGTACAAGTATTTATAAACAATAATGAATGTCCCAAATGCCCTGGTACGGCCGAGAGTGGGGAGAGTACGCTCACCCTCTCCAAATGCTCTCACATGGCCACGCGTAATATAGCCTCTGCCACGGAAGTCCTACTCACTGCATTCTCGTGTCGGGGGTGTCGTTTACTAAATTGAGAGAACGCAAAGCGTATGTCCGGTGCTTTAACCGGGTTATTGGACATGGAAAGTTCACTTAGGGGAGTTGGAAAACCCTCATTCCAAACCAATGGTGCACATGGGCTCCAGTATCCTGAGGGAACAAATGGAGTATGAACCAATCGCTGGTCACCGGCTACCATGTGACTGCATCTCCTCACGATGCTCCACTGCCTTGTGGATTAGACATTCAGGTCAAAGTCTCCGGGTGTGGCCCCCTGAGTAAACCACCTGCTTCAGTTTGGGCACAAAGGCAGTATCTCAGCCCTCACACAAATCAAATCAGATTTGTGTGGCGCATATGTATCTGGTGCCCCTTTGTACCAATATTTGTGTTTAAATAAAATAAAAATGACCAGAAACTACGAGCAACACCCTACTGTAAGAGAGAACAAACTAACTTCCATCTGAGGAGGAAATTAGGAAAAGACGTTAGAGCTGGATCGGATATGTATTACAGAAATCACCAAAATGCATCACGAAGCGGACGTTAACTTGGAATGTTGAAGGGATACGGAAAAGAGGAAGACGAAAAAACACATTGCGTCGAGAATTGGAATGAGACATGAAAAGAATGAATATTAACTGGAAAGAATTTGAAAGCATTGTCCAAAAATAGAGAATGCTGATGTGTGTCCTATTCTCCTCTACGAGGGGTAACAGGAGTAAGTAACTGAAGGTAAACGGTCAAGGATCAAAGGTATTTGATAATCTATTGTGTATATTAATTTATTCGTATTATTCATCTTAGTAGATAGGTCATCTAATCCTTATCGAAGTCTTTCTTTGTATAGATGTTTCATTTAAGAAAACAATGAACCGATAATTCAAGTATATAAAAAATAGTTGAGAGATTATTTTACATTAAATTACCGCACGAATTAAAAATAATCTAATTCTAAGCTAAGATGGATAGTGGTTAGCAGTGAAATCCAGGACGCGCGTCTCGTCTTATTTGTGACTAGTCAGCTCGATGTACCAGCATCTCAGAGTTGATGTTTACTCTGGGACTCTAACCTAGTACCGTTCGCTTCAAACGCCATCGCATTATCCACTCAGCTACAGAGTCCTGATAGCCACTCGCTTGTGCAATGGGATGAAGTTTAAATTCACTTGTTATAATTTGTTTTAAATATTCCTATTGATGTTTAGGACTACCAATAAGAAACTGATCAATTACAGTCCTAAACATCAATGAGAATATTCGAACAAACAATACCAATTGAAATAATCTAGTTCATTTAGTAATTACATGTATGGTTTACTCGGATTAAAGCAATACTATTCTTCACTGACAGCATAGATACTAATAGAATACATTAGACAAAGTACATAGAGGAAGTTAAGGACTTATGAATGAATATTTAAAAACAAGGTGATACGATTATTATTTTACCACTCCGTATTGAATAGGCTCCTACACTTGTGACTTTACATATATCATTAGTAGTGAGTCACACAACAATAAAATCATACAATATATATGATGTACTACGTGATTATCAGTTAATAATAATGAATAGGTCTATTAAATGCTATCACATATAGTTATTTAGAATAAACAATACAACCACTTTACATTTCAAATGACGCCTAATATACAATTAGACAAAGACAGAATATTCAGAACATCTGTGTAAAACATTGCAAGTGGTTAAGAATGAGTGAGTGAGTGAGTGAGTGAGAGGAAAACTTGAGATTAAAAATGGGCTAAAATTGAAGTTTAAGTACTTTCTTGTAGAATATAGGGGTATAAAGGAAATAGGTTAAGTGTTATTCATTCATTCAATCAATCAAAAGAAAGTAGAACCTGGCACATATATGCATCGGTTCAGTTCCATTTATTCATAATACAAATGAATAAACTGAATAATTTCATTTTAATGAATTCATAGTTTCAATTACCACTAAAAATCTAGAATCATTAGGTCCTAGAATATGTCTCTTCAACAGTATACTGTGGTTTCGTGATCTGACTTACATTTAGAACGTACTATGAACATAAATCTTCCATTTGTTAACTAAGCTAACCCAGTTGGTGTTACAGCGGTAATGAGAAGTCTAATACGGGTTGCGTTGAATGATTTTGTTTCAAGCACACAGTTATTCAGACAGATATTCAGAGTGAAAAAAGGGAAAGCAAATTGAAGCGGAGAAGATGAGTAAGCTAATTCAGTTCCATAAAGCGTGACTCAATATTTATAACTAGATCAAAATAATCTGCAGACATGTGATGAGTAGGATAAGCAATACACACATAAAAAGTCAAAGTTAACAAGGAAATAATTCACAAGGTCAACATGTGGGTCAAGAAGAATGAATAAAATGATCTTTTTGAAATTTAGAACAACCCATGCAAGCTTGACATAGTACCAGACACTACAATACGTCCGTGACCCCATTTCTAGTCTCAAGCGCGAACGCTTAATCTCTGAACCAGTGAGCCAGGTTTCATCAGTGTTAGTGTTTAGCTATCACGTATGTTAAACTAAAGAATTTCTACAATTTTTGGAAATCCCCTTTTACAAAGTCAACACCGAAAATTTTACAATCGTGGCTTCTTATGAGATCATATAAACATGATGAACAAAGTTGTCGGTTTGTTGGTTAACACACATGCAAATTTAAGCACTAGATCTCGTGCAATGGTAGAGAAGATTTGTAGTTCAGGGGGATGATTTTGATAGGGTTTTGTTCTCTGAGCCCCAGCTCAAAATCTCGTGCAGTACACAGTTCTCATACTAATCAGTAAAACAAAATAATCAGGTTCAAAAGTACCTAAGGGTAGGGTTAAAGACACGATTAAAAAGTGAAAGATTATGCTTTGATTTAAGATTACGCTTAACTGCTATAAAACAAAGATATATAGGCTGACAATATCCTCAATGTTTTCGACGTCCATTAAATTTGCTGAACATTCAGTCACTTAACCATCAATTTAGTTGTTTACAAAATATACACATAACTTGGCACTTCGTATTTGAAAACGAATAGAAAACTATAAAAACCCAAACTACATATTATCTCGAAAGAATTTCACACTAAACTACTAAAAAAGACTGGTAGGTCCTGGGTTCGAACCTTGTGAGGCGAGATCAAGGATGTGTACTGCTGAGGAGTCCCACAATTAAACAAAACGGCCGTCCAGTGCTTCCAGGTTTCCCATGACAGTCTAGCTTCAATTGACTCATGACTATGAAAAATACTGAAATCTCCGCAAAACCCCCATCTGAAAAAAAGCTTTCTGTATAAATATCATAATGAAATAAAATAATACACTGAAGATAAAACAAATAGTACATGGAACAATTATTACATTGAATTGAAAACGGAAATAATGTAGAACAAAACTTACGAGTAAAAAGAAGCAATATTGCTCTCTTTATTAATCTATCATATCAGATTGAGTGCTAACTATTAGTAGGTCATTTTCAACAAAGATTTCACATCTAGTCTTTCAAAATAACCGACACATTAGTGAAGCATAGTTTGACATATTTAAAGAATAACGAACTTTAGTAGAGGTTGTGGTTAAAAATGAAATGTTTACTGCAAAATAACCCGTTAAGATGTAATACTAGAATAATGCAAAAGTGACGACATTAACAACAACACACATAATGAAAATTGGATAGGTTGAAAATCATCTCAGTCAACACATGTACAGCTTTTGCTAGATTCAGTTTAATGTGATAACTATGACCTACACATTTTTTTAAAAAAAAAAAGCTGACCTATCTTAATCACTAAACAACCTTTCTATGTTAGATTGAATCTTACACCTGTTACTTCAATTCAAACTACTTAAAAGTACTTATGAACACTACAAATACAAAAAGTAAATGGAGCACTAATTACCAAAACACAAGGGCTTTAACAGGTACACATCTATGTTCAACATGAGTAATGAGTCACACAGTAAATAGAGATAAGTATTCTAACAAGTACTACGTAACTATCAGTTAATAGCTATGAACAAATCACATTAAATTAGTTGAATAAATGCTATCACATATAGTTATTTAGTAAAAAAACAATACAACCACTTTATATTTCAAATGACGCCTAATATACAATTAGACAAATGCAGAATATTCAAAACATCTGTATAGAAAATTGTTTATGGTTGAGAAAGAGTGAAAGAAACTAGAAATAAAGGTTAATATTTTCGGTTTGAGCGTGATCTCGTGGAGAATCGAGACATTTTCAGTGAAGTCCTAATTTCAATGTTATTATTATTTATTAAAGATGTACATCTGAACGGATTTCTAATGCATATTAGTAGATAATTTAAGCATAACCTTAAGTTCATTATTAAGTATAGTACATCAGAAAAACGACACATGCACACAGTTAAATAAAATAGATACCAACCCAATAGTTTAGAGGTTAGGCAATCACTTGAGACTAAAGTTCTTGGGTTCGGGTCCCATATGAGGATCGTGGGTGAGCACTTCTAACGAATCCCATAAGAGGCAAAAGAGCCATCCAGTGCTTCCAATTTTTCAGTGGTGATCTAACATTTATGGTTCCATAATGCTTAATAAATAGAATCTATTTGTAATTTTTGTTTTGAAATACAAAAATTAGGAATAAATAGTTATAGATTACTGTAAAAATGTGAATATAGAACATCTCAATTAATACAATGGGTAACGTTCATCACTTAATTAATACCAAAGTTTTGTAATGTATACATGTTGTGAATGGAATATTAATATCAGTGGACTTAACAATACACAATTTCTATATACTTCTAAATAAACTACAATAGTGTAGCAATTAATTTTCAAGGACAGACTTATATAATTAACTTTAAGCCATGATGCATTTGTGTAGAGAATATTAACGTAAGAAGAAATCAATTATGCAAACTTAAGTGTAGGAGGAGTGCCGTTACAGCTTATCTAAACTTCTCATTGAAGGTTATGTATTTGAGTCCGCTTCGCTTACTAAACAATTTAATGATACTTATTACCATGAATAATATCAAAGCTTAATTGATTGACTACAGTTTATGACGCTATCCCAAACTTATCTCCTATAATATCAGAAATAACAAGTGAAATTAGGTTTATTTATAGAAAAAAAAAAGAAGAAAGAATCATCTTTATATTCTAGAAGAAACAAAACAAGGAAAGTACTAGTCTGATAAGGAGTAGTACTAACAGCAGTGTAGTTCTTATCTTGCTTAAATAATAATAGTAGTAGTATAAGTATATAGAATATATTTGTCTTTAAAAACTTTGGTTTTTAGCTGAATGAAAGAAAAAATGATTGACATAATGACCTCCGCGAAAAAGTGATAAACACACGACTTGCAGTTGATTCCCTTAAAAATAGTATTTACAGTCAGCACATACACACACACACATGTACAATGATGAATGTGATAGAAATCGAGAGTTCATTAGTCGTTATTATTATTACTATTATTATTATTATCATTACTATTATTATTAGTAGTAATAGTAGCAGTAGTAGTGTTTTGCTGCATGGATTCTTGACATAAATTCACAATTATCGCTTTATCGCTAGGTGTACTACTACATGCATCCTCTCCAGTATCTACAGATGTTGATGCTGGTCCAATAGAAACATCATCTGTTGAAGTAGCAGCATTTACACGATTTGATGATAAATTCATTGATATTGGCCAACCATATGACATTTCTGGTATATGATGATTTGGTGAATGTTGTAATAATAATAATGATGATGATACAGATGTTGATGGACATCTTGTAAATTTTGTATCAAGAAATGGACGATGATTATGATGATGATGTGAACGTCGTGATGAACGTATTGATCGTCGATCAATTGATGGAAAAATATGTCTTGTTTGTTGTAATGTTAATGGTGTACTATCTTCAAGACCACTGTCAGCAGGACTAACAGGTTGTGTAACAGCATGACGTTTAAAACTAAAACACGAATTACACATTGGATGAAAATCTGTATAATGAAATAATTGATTCGCTTTATTCAATTCCATACAATTAAATGAATAGGGAGATAGTATTCGTGAAGAAGTATCCATATTGATAGCAGGTTTATAAGTACTAAAATCCGGTGTTAGATGAGCTTTTTGAAATTGTTGTTGTTCATGGTGATGTAATCCATTAATCATCATATCAGATGTATAAGATATTTGTTTATTTAAACGTTTATTTAAATAACGAATACAATACATGATTGCAAATACAATTGTAAAAAAGACTACAAATATAAGAAAGACTATTATGCAAAGAATTATCCATGAATTAATTGAAGGGGAATTTATATTACTACCAATTATAGTATTCTTTTGATTCGGATTATGTATATTCTGAGCGTGTACATTATCTTGATTGGAAACAGGCCAATAAACAGATTGAATTGATATTGATGTAGTTCGTACATGTGTTATACCAAGTAATGATGTATCATCACCACCACCATCACTGGTAGTAGTAGTAGTACTACTGATTGCATCAGTTAATTGATCCGACTTAGTAACAATAACATTATGATTTGGACATAATTTAAGTGTTGATGGATGAATACGAAATTTAAGATGTACATTTGATCCATTATTAATTCCATTTAACCATTGATGATCTATACATTTTAACCAATCATCATTATAAGTTAAATAGATATCAGTTAAACTATTACAATACTCCCAATTAATTATAGGTAATTGTAATGAATTAGATTGACTTCTATTATATTTTACTAATCCAATATTTTCTAAATAGAGGGTAGTCATTAGTTTAGGACAAGAATTTGTAAACCACCATTTCAATGATGATGATTGACTACTTATATTATTTATTACATTTGATGTCGGTATAACCGCCAATGGATTCCTTGATAATATCAACTGTTTTAAATGAGGTAATATAATATTTAAATTTGGCATAGTTACTATTAAACTATACATTCTCAATTGGTTACCTTGTAAATCTAATACTTTCAAATGTGATAATCCTTGAAATACATTAGATGATAATGTAGTTAAATAATTATTAGCTAAATTTAAATAAATTAAATTTGGTAAACGTATAAATATTTGATCTTTTAAATGAATTAAATAATTACCGCTTAAATCAAGATTATGTAATGATGGATAATGTTTTGGTAGACCCCAACTAGCTAAATTAATTTGATATAAATGATTTAAACTAAGATCTAATGATTGAAGGTGTTTTATATTAGCTAACCAACCAATACCTAAACCATGCTCAGTTAAATTTATATTACGACGTATTTCTAAATCAATTAAATGATTAGCACCAATTTCATCAAAAAATCCTTGACTTATTGTATGTAAACTAGTTTGTTCAATAGTAAAACGACGTAATTTTAAGGCAACACCATTATTAGGAATAGTACGAGTAGTTGTCGAGGTGGAGGTGGTGATGGTGGAGAAAATATGATTACGAAATTGATTAGTATCCAATTGAATAAAACCATCATATACATTCAATTGACCAACAATAGCTAATCTTTCTAATTCTATCATACATTTTGATTGTATATGTAGTTTAGTCTGTTTGGATAATATTAAACTTGACCAAGAATTTTCAGTAAGTTGAATTTTTAATTGGCGCCATAATGGTAAACATAAAGTATGATTAGGCCATATTATCATCATATTATGAATAGGATCATAATAATGATTGATTAAATCATATCCACAATGTTTTATATCTGAAGGATAGTTATTACTATTTAATTGGGATAATCTAGTTTGATTGATAAGACAACAAATAACTGCAATTGTATTGAATCCATTACCATCATTACTATTAATGGAACATTTACATCCTGATAAACAATTTGATGATTGAGCAATGGTCCATGGTATAAATAATAAATATAATATATATTCCTTAAGTTGAAAAATTTTGATGAACAGTATAAAGAGTGAGCACATAATATATTATGAAAGGGATAATGTTATGACATAACTGATTAATCACCATTGATTGATTGATATAGGTAACACAGTTGTCAATTAGAAATAAAATAATCTTATATATAGTAAATGTTTAAGAGACAACTGTTGTCCTACCAGAACAACAACAACGACAACAACATATCCTCCCTACGTGTATGTGTTTAAATTGGATCGTAAGTGAGACATGTTTGATTGAAACAATCAAAAATATAAAAATCAAAATCTAAAAAAAAAAAAGAACACTTGATAAAAAAAAATCAACCAATCATATTAAAGAGATATAAGAAAAATCCACACAGCAACACACACTCACACAAACATTTGAATCTAATAACCAGTCATTTATTTAGTTCTATGTGCCATTGTTATAAATGTAAAACAAATATAGATAAAAAAAAATTTTTTTATCAAATATTACTGTCATCTATAGGCTCTTTGTTTTAATAAATAAAGAGGACAGGTCAAATTGAAGAGGAAAGAAATTTCGGATATACACCAATAAATAGGGAAAGGGTAATATATAGGTATGTGTATTTAGAGGTCATGACCCTTAAAATTATTGTGGATATACATGTTTATATCATGTGATGATGTTTACACGAATAATGATAATATAATAATAGATATTATTCAGATCACCTTGACATATATGATGACATCATAACAGGTTATATGAATAGGAAAATGTAGTTGATAGGATGCCTTAAGCCTAGGCTTCGTATTATTTGGTGTGCCCGTAATCTTGAAAGAATCGATGTTTCCTTTATGATTCGAGGTCGCAACACTTAACTCTAAAACTTGAGATGTCACCACAAAGCTGTTGAGACAGTAGGTAAACTCCTGTAAAATTGAGAGGCTTACAATTGATTTTCTTGTAGAAATATATCAATCAAAGCACTCACGTGGCACTGATGAGATAGTGAGGGAAACCTCGCTAGCTAATTATAGAGGTCGGCGGAGATTGGTCTAACTAACTAGGTTGTAAACTTCAGTAACACTAAATCTTGCGGGGTCCCCTCTGTGTATGCTGATATATGTCAATTGCATGAGTTTTGATTTGTGTAATTTGTTAAGATAGGTATATGCAAAGTGTAAACACGTGGGTTAGCACAGGGAATGTAAGCTGAAAGAATGTTTGTCCTATGTCAAATAAAACAACAACAGGTCCAAGATATAACAAAAAGATATAGTAGCGATTACTAAGGAGAGATGGCTATCAAGCTTCCCTGAAAGAGTGCTTATACTTGTGCGTGAAGCGCGAGGGCATAAACATCTGTACGAGCTGTAGGCATATAATGCGTGAGAAACAAAAAGTAGCGAATATGTTCTACTCTCCCAGGTGGGTGAATATACCTGTGTGTATGTTTATGGGATGCATGAGTGAAAACGAGTAAATTAAATAAAGGTTCATCAGAAAAAGCCTGTGTAAACAAATTGAAAATCATAACGAGTCTGTATGATATACTGAAAACTCTAACTTTTTTGAGGTTTTATAGTTCTTCATCACACAAGAAGATATTCAACTAGGATTGAAATCTAATTAGAAATCGATCTGGTCTGAAGATAAGGTTGGCATTAAAGACAATCAACGGAAATTCTTGCACCTAGGTTTCATACCATCTGGAATTCGTCAACAATCTCCATATTTGAATAGGGATTAAATCCCATATCTCTCAATTTCACAGTTAGCGATGTTATCACTAAACTATTCGGACAGTAGCTTATAATCTCACTAACTTATGTATATATTCGAATTAAGATTTCAACTTTTTTCTGGCTAATTACACTTTAACTAGTGCTTAAAAGTATCGATTAACCCGGATTATAGATGTTAGGTCCGAACGCGAAACGCAATATGAACAAGTTTTCAATGAGAGTAGTTCTGTTTTACACTTAAGAAACACTACGCCTCAAACTAAACAATGTTAGGGCGCTATATTCACTTGATTAATGTTGTCTCCAAAGCATTGTTCAGTCTTGAAGGTAATCTTATCTCGTCGTACTGTGGGACTCCTAAGAAGTGCGCATCCACGATCAGGTAGTCGATTCCAGTACATTCACTGAGCCACCATTTAATACTCTATACTACCTAACATCAATCAGCTCGTGATACTGCATAACATTTTCCAATTACGTCAGTGAATAACTACCTCATACCTAACATGGTTGAACTCTGATGGTCATGGCATCCCAGTAGAACTTCGGGAGTAACTACTCCCTTTCCTTTTCGATACTCCTATTCTAACCAAACTTACATATACTTAATAAAAATTCACAGTACAATAGATTTATACGACAAGTTCCATGTGATTTCCAAAGAAATTGAGGAAAATGACAACATAAAACTAAATTATCTTCTGTATGTTCTCATTTCAACTTAATCAACCATGAATAAAAAAGTGGGACAAATTCGATTATATTATATATATATATGTCATATTATGTAACTTGTCATTTTGAAAGAAAATATTCTATTCAAACTTATAATTACATCTTTATTCAAACTAACTTGTTACTGTAAGCAAAAATGGATAGTGGCTAGTACTGGAATCCAGTTTGACGCGCGTTTCGTCCTATTTCGGGATCGTCAGCTGGATGTACCCGTATCTCAGAATCGATGTTCACTCTGGGACTCGAACCCAGTACCTTTCGCTTCAAACGCCATAGCGTCATCCACTCAACTACTGAGTTCTCATAGCCGCGATGGCGTTTGAAGCGAAAGGTACTGGGTTCGAGTCCCAGAGTGAACATCGACTCTGAGATGCGGGTACATCCAGCTGGCGAGTCCCAAATAGGACGAAACGCGCGTCAAACTGGATTCCAGTACTAGCCACTATCCATCTTTGTTTACAATGCTTGTGAAATAAGGCTCTATAGAGGCAATACGCACACTATGCACATATACCAATTAGAGACTGACCAGTTACAGTCCTAAACATCAATGGGAATTATTCGAACAAACAATACTAAGTGAATTTAACTTGTTACTGTTGTTTAAAAAGATAATCCAGTATAAAAGTGAGCTTTTATTTACTAAATATTTGACCTGAAAACTTCATCACTTTGTGCTAATGGGGTATGGTAACTTAAAGAGATGTAAATACGTACAAGTTCTACATTGTGACTGACTGATTCGACTTTAAACTACAATTTATTTGAACTATGTGATATATTAGCGCAATATATATTGAACAATCTGATCATACATTGGTGCCCAAATACTGTGAAACTATTCGCTCTAATCTAGACGAAAGTTCTTATAGAAATCTGATCATCTTCTATTGCCAAACATATAATCGAAACAGGCCATAAAATTGATCTTAACTCGGTTTTTGTGGTGTTGTATAACAGTGTAAAAGAGGGTATACTAAGGTTTATTGAAGCCTTAGATTAACGAAAATTCACCCCCCCTTTGTGTATTCAAAAGCAGTTTGTTCTCACCTTAAACCTACCATGGTAATATTAGCTTATTATCCAGAGTGATTAGTTTTCAAATTGTCTTCACATCATCATTATTATCACTATTATTATTATTATTATTATTATTATTATTATTATTATCTTTGTCTCCTCTTACCCCCCCCATTTCCAGTCTAGTTGACCTTTTATTTTTATATATAAATGTGCTTAACAAGTATATGTAAGATCCGATTGTTCGAAATGTATTGCGCTCATATATCATCACATAGTTCTGATAATCTTCGTCTTCTTATTACTACACTATCGAAATTTATCAAATGGACTAATTGCTTTACGATTTATTTGTATAAAGGTTAATAATACTATTACCATCCAGTTGTAGTAATTAAAATAGATGGAGTAGGATTGAAACGCTACTGCAATAATTCCAAAAAAAAACCAAACCACAAAATCAAGGATTAACCACTGGATAGTGGGCAATATCATGTGTTGTTTGATTGTTTAGTGCTAATGTATTCAGTGATCTACGTAACTAAATATTGTGCGTATTATGTTTGACGTTACTGGGTTAGAGTTAGTTGTATGGAAACTTTTTCTGACTTAGACTTCGTTCTAGTCAGTACCTTTTACCAAGGCATATCTAGAATATTAAGGGAATGAATACTCTCTGATGTACTGAATCCCATATTATTTTACTTCACAATCTGTGACGTTACCACTAAGATGTTCAAAATAACTAAGTGGATTGTGGATTACAGTTGCCAAACATCTGTTATAGTTGAGATGATAAATTATCATCTATTTAAATTGTAGCACCGCTATTATTTTTGTAAAATGATTACAGAAAAAGGTCAGAGATGCTATGATAAACGCTTCCCTAATTAGAAAAATATCGTGGGGGTAAATTCACATTTTGAGATCCAATAACATATATATGAACAATGTAATTAAAGATTGATTTCTAAGATCAATCAATCCATAGTAGTGTGTGACCATTTTCCATAGTCTTCATTGTATAAGGGCCTCACACCCAATGCGGATTAGCTTCACTGATCATGACTTCACATTGTAGGGCCAGTGAAATATCACTAAGCCCTAGCCAAAACATCTGGGAGTTGGGTCACTGAATATCGAACAAATCATCAATCCCTGTTAAAATCAAGGACGACAGAACAGATGGTCTCATTAAAATCTCTGTGTACTCATTCTTACTAATATATTTACGTAATCACACTCTTTGTGTTGTTACAGTCTTCAAAGCAAACATAGGACTTTGATACGTCGAATGGGATAATCTACATTAGATACTGACCGCGAAGTGTGCCTTCGAAGTTAGCTTTTTCGTTACACCGTTCCCGTCTAACTCGAGTAGGCCTCCAATCATTCGACATAGATCATCAACATTGATGGTCTACAACATTATAACTCCGGAAATTTCCCCCCAAAGCTAATCACTAGTAAACACATGACAACTAACTTCATTAAATTTCAATTTGTGAATAAGATTGTTCTCAAACAACACTGTATACAAAACTATTTATTAAACTATACAAATTAAAGTAATAAAACATTAATTACATTAAAATAAAAATTCCTTATAGAAATCAATTCTTGATGTATTTCAATACTGCGTATTTCTTACAAATATTGTAAGCAAAAATGGATAGTGGCTAGCAATGGAATTCAATTTGACGCGTGTTTCGTCCTATTCGGGACTCGTCAGCAGTCTCAAACATCAATAGTAAGATTCAAACAAACAATACTATATGTATTCTTTAG